GCGATGACGGAGTCGCCGGGCATGACCTTGCGGTCCTTCTCGATGAGGCTCACCACGTCGGGGTGGTATAGCCGGAACATGCTGGCCTCGGCATCCTGCAAGCGGGTAGAGCCTTCGAACTCATCCCACATGAGGCCCCAGAAACGAGTGCGGTTGAATTCGCCCGAGGTGACGCCCTTGATGCCTAGGTCGCGCTGTAGCTGGACGACCTCGGCGACAGACTCCTTCTCGACAGCGGGAAGACCGGCTTCCTCCTCGGACAGACCCTGATCGCGGATCTTGCCTTCGCGAATATCGAGGAGCTTCTGAGGGCGAAGGAGAGAGCCCATGTGCTCTGCCCTGAAAGGGGGTGCTTGGTGGAGCTTGGTGGACATTTTGGAAGGACTACTGGTATCAATGAACTGCTGGGAAGTAAGATGTCTGTCTCTTTACTCTACAAAACACCCCTCACGTCGAGAATTTTAAAGGTCGCGATATCTCGGTGGGTGGCCAATCTATCTAGTGTCGAAGGCGGGGCAACCGGATTTATAGCAAACGGATTTACATGGCGGGGCAAAGTGAGGGGTCAATTCATTCAGACATGTATTGTTTGCCGATTGATGGCCAAGGTTGAGCTGAAAGCTAGTCGCCAGGGGTCAGAGTAGCTCACGTCAGCCAGTGTGAAAACCCAAATAGATGGGAAACCAGAGTTGGTAGCATTGGCCGAAAGGTTGTCTCCTTCGAAGCCGTCCCGCGCGGCCGACTCTTCGTCGGAGCTCTGAAGAATTAACTAGCTTCTGGGGTGCATTTGTCCCCTCTTCTTATTGTCCGAGAAGCAGCTTTACCCCTCATTCTCCACTCCAGTACTTCGGCAGTCGCATGGCCAATATTGATGTAAAGTCCCATTAAGAAGACGGGAAAACATCGTCTGTCAACCCCAAGTTAATTACTACGCCCCCGACAATTCGACGTCCTCGCTTCCGTCTGTGAGCAAGGTGAGAGGACACTGGAGAAAGTAAATGAGTTGACTGAAGTACATAACAGAAGAAGTGGCAAAACTCTGACGACAATTACATTACAAGCATGGTCACATCGTTACCGGGGTCGTCGATAACGTTGGGGCGTAGTCGGTCGACCTTCATTTAATCGCGAACATGTGTGCCAAGTTCATGTTTGTCAGAGTGGAGACACTCTGTACAACAGAGAAGACCAAGCCCTTTGCCGACCAGACTTTCGCAAACAAAGTTCTCAGTTACGAGCAGGGGATCGAAGCCAAAGGCACTGTTCAGAATATGAAAGCAGCTGTCAAATTGGAGGTCCAATCCGACCAGCGAATCAAAGGCAACGCAGTGACCGGCAACGGTCCCTATAAGTCAAACCCCCCACTTCCTGGCACCCCCCTGTTTCTGGCACCCACAAAAACGATGGGATCACAACCCAACCTCCTCATTACTATTAACTATTGATCCTCAACCTACAACTGCCAGCCTCACTAGGGCATTCAGAGTCGCTGGATTCAGCCGTAATAACCTCCTTTTCACCCGCTTCGATTTGAGCCCGATGGATATCCCTGATGTTCGCAAACTTCGTGTTGGGATCGATCTGAACAGTCTTCCTCTTCCTAACTGCAGCGTTGGTAACAGCCCTCAGGTGAGCCAGCTGCTGCTGGGCAGCTGCCAGTTGCCAGGCCTGCTCTGTGAAGCCTTTTTTCACCTTCCTGAACAGCAGCCGTTGAGTGCTGGTATCATTGTCGAGTTGGGTGTATAAGTGCAGTTGACCGCTGAGCTCTGCCAGCTTCCTGGGTGTCGACCAGACCACTGCAGAGGAAGCAGAATCCCATGGCTCAACAGGGGTAGTTTGTTGACCATTATGGCATCGCTTTTTGCCCCGACTGGTTGGTTTGGGTGTGGTGGGCTTAGCAGAAGGCTCAGGTAATACCATAGGGTTCATCAGGGGCTTAACCATCGCTACAGGGTGTAGACCAGTCCACTTCCAACCACTTCTGATGTTCGAGACTGATAGACCAGCAAGTCGAGCCTTCTGGTAACAGTCCAGGAAGTTCCTTTTACCTATAATGGTAGAGTCGTTCCATTGAGACAAGTAACCGAGCTCCTTCCGATAGGCTGACTTAACAGGGCTGAAGACAGACTGGTCAAGTGGCTGGAGGACATGAGAGGAGTGTGGTGGTAAGAACAGTAAATGGATATTGTTAATATAGCAATTCCACATGAAGTCTGTCGTCGTATGACTCCCATGCCCATCCACAATCAACAGTCGAGCCTCGCCCTCAGCCTCGGGCATAGTCTGTGGGATAAACACCTTCTCTAACCATTCAATGGCAGTTAAGTCTGTAGTCCAGCCATTATCTGTTGCTGTAAACTCCCACCCATCGTATGGAACCAGATGTAATGGAAACCACTGTTGTTGGACCGTCTTCCCTTGAAAATGATAAGAGGACGAAGTGCCCTACCCAAGGCTGAGATACACTCAATGATAGAGACCCATGCCCTCGACCCAGGTTGTTTCTTGCGAACAGACGTCGTCTCAGCCATGCCCAGCACTAACCCATTAGCTCCTGACCCTCGAGGATGCCAGTCTCATCCATATTATATCTGTTGGCTGGTTTGATGTCCTTGATCTCAGGGATAGCAAGGAACTTAAACCAGTTCCTAATGACCTCAGTAGATGCCCCATTAACGCGTCTAGAATCGATGGAACGACTTCTCTGAACCTTAATGATAGGGTTCCTTCTCACGAAGGCATAGATCCAGCCTTTTCTAATGGTTTGGTATCCCCAGCAGCAGCCAGAACTCGCTCTGCGAATTCCTTCACCTGTTGGTGCGTTGGTGCGAGGCCCAGCGAAGCCTGAATGCGAACCCATTGTGCCAGCTTACTCTCCTGGTCAGGAGACAGCCTCTGCCAGTCAGCAAAGCCACTTTCCTAGTCTGACCACCTTGGAGACGTAGTTGGAGGGTTGATCGTGGTATCCCATACTCCAATGAGGCTCTCTTTTGACTCTTGCCGTTTGAGATGTCCTCGAGAGCCTGACAAGCTGATCTTCGGTATATTGAGGCATTAGATATAGAAGAAGGTATGTGCAAAAATGAGCCCATTTGGACTCAATTGAAAATGTTGTGATAAAAGGAGGTTGGGGGTGGGCATTGCGTTGTGGTGGATTTTCGCGTTTTTGTGGGTGCCAGAAACAGGGGGGTGCCGGGAAGTGGGGGGTTTGACTTATCAACTTGCAACAGTCCAGTTAACCTACCCTTAGAACCGATCCTTTCCACTTTGTGCAGGAATCAAGACATAGACCGATACAATTTCATCACCCAAGGAACCAGGCGATTCGATCCAACCACTCTGTGATAGAGATACCAACAGCAGCTGCCATGGCTCAACGAGGTGCTATGGCGCTACTGAGCGATGATTTCCAGACGCTTCGCTCCATAACAACGGAGTCAAAATGTAGGTGACATGAATTTTCTTTCTGGGCAAACATGAAATCTTCATCTCCATCTCCGGCTGAGGGCTGGGTGGCTTAATCACTAACTCGTTTCCAAACACACAGGGAAACTTGCGATCTTAGAGAAGAAATTTGAGGAACTTGAATCAACCCAGAACAAATTGGTGGCAGAACAGCGTGAGTGTTTTGCCGACATGAATATCATATGAAATAAGAAAAGCTGATTGATTGATTTCGCAGGGGAAATGAAGCTGCGTGGTCAACATGAAAGTAGTCAAATATCGACAGCATCACCCGAACAACAGACACGACTTAGTCGACAGGATCTTCAAGCCATGCTTGGTGTTTCTTTGCAGCGAATAGAGATGGCATTGGAGAACGTCGGATCAGTCAGTAGGGTGGAGGGAATGACCGGGGGCGATCTCGTCAAGAAATTGACCCAAATCCAAACATTCCGCAATTGGATGCAGTCAAATAAGTCGGAGATCTTGTTTCTCCGGATTCATGAGGCTGGGAGACTGATCACACCCCTTTCAAGCGTTTGCTTGCCATTAGTTGCCAGTCTCCAAGATATGGAGCCAGCCGTCACTCTTCACTACTTTTGTGGTGTCCTCCGCGAGGACAGCGCGCAAAGTCGCTCCCATCTTTTGCGCAGTTTGATCGTGCAGTTGCTTGAGAAACTACCAGCTGAGCGAACACTGGCCATGGATATCAACTACGCGCTGCTATCTGAGTGGGATTTCAACGCCTTGCGGCAGCTATTCGAGATCACTTTGTTGTCTATGCCAGGAGCAGTGATCTTCTGTGTGATTGATGGTTGTTCACATTATCGAAACGAGGATGAGCTGCAGGTCACCTTGGAATATTTGCTCGGGGCCTGCCAAGCACAGTCTCCCGTCGTGAAGCTGAAGCTTCTTCTGACGTCTCCTGTGCCTCTACATATATCCCAGCAGATGCCAGAAGGCATGATGGTCTTTCTTCCTACCGTCGCAACGCAGAGTAGGCCCGGTTTGACCTATGGCTGGCAGCCGAATGCGCTTTTCCGACGGCAATTCGATGGGGAACGGTCAGGAAGTCCGCCACCCGTACTCTACCGCAACCCAGAGGATAATTGGTAGAGCATAATAAAGTGCCGGACGTGCTCTTTGAGTTGAGGCTGGGGCTTCCGAGCAATTGAACATTGCTACGACCCATCTCATCCCCTACTACTTGAACGCTGATTCAAATTAAATTAAATGGATTCTTTTTTTTTTGGCATTCAAACTAATATTGAAACGCTGAGCATATTCAGGATCGAATGTGATAGGTGTGATCCAGTCGGTTCGGTCGGCTCAACTTCCATTACTAACCTCCTCTCCCGAGCCCTCAGCAAGCATGTTTGATGTCCATAGCAGCTGGCACTGGACTCTTGCACATTATGTAACAGTGGTAAACCCTTTTTACGTATATGGATGTCGTGAAACGACTGATTTTATTGACTCTAGAATGCGACATCATTCGCCAAAGTACCAAGCATAAGATGGAATGTTGGAGGCCCATCCAGTACTTTTTGAGAACACCTCCCAGAATAGAAGTTTTTGGCCCTTAAAAGTTTCTTTCTATGTAGGTATACGGCATGGCCCTTTCTGACATAACCTTTCTAGATGAGGAATACTGTTTTTCTGTCGGCATTGTCCACGAAGATTCTGTCCTTACCTCTGAATGATGCTATTCCGATGCGTCGAAAGCTCCCATGCTCAGTTGACTTCACTTTCAGTGACTCGTTATTGCGAGAGAGAATCAAAAACGTCTCCATGAAAATCACGCCACCTTTGGCCTCCTCAAATTTCCTCGTTCTCAAAAGCAAGCAAGGGTATGGGAGTCTGGAATCTATCGGATGACTGGGATCGTCAAATCGTCCTGCGCAGGTCCATGGTATTGGACCTTTGGCGAAATCGGTCTCTTCATCGTTGAGTAGCATGTAAGGCGGATTGTATGTCATGGCCTCTGGCGGTATGCGGACTGAGACACTCTTGACAACTCCACGTATGATCAGATGACAAGACTCAATCTGGGATGTCATCGGGATTCCCTTCCACTCGATGCCAAAGGCGACCAAGTCCACGTCATTTGAGATCTTAAATCGGCGTTGAAGTTTGAAGCCCCAATCATCTACCATGATTGGGGCGTTGCAAGAAAACCAGGTCCAAGACGGTGCTCCAGGAATACCGGGGCCCTTCTTTTGGCCATTTCTGATCCAAGCCAAGTCTCGAGCAAGATTGCCAGGGCAAATTCCGAGAATCGGTTTCTTTGAAGTTAAGTTTGTGTAGTATTTGGTAATCCCGGCGAAAGCTTGCAGCCGGTCTGAGGCGATAGTAAAGTCTCGCTTGGAGTAATCTTCGATCCATTCAGGCCAACATTGGGAAACTTGCGTGATGGGGTATGTCGAATCACTTGCTGTAAGATGGGGTACCTGGTAGGTCTGAGTAGCTTGAGTTTCGTACAAATATTGACACTGCCAATGAACGCCCGACTTCAGGCAGTGAAGAATCCTTGGGGACAAGATTCGCTCTTGAAGCGCCCATCCTCGTGTGCTGAGATGTGCTTGTCGTGGAATTCCGCGGGGGTTAAGAGATTGAAAACGGATCATTCTAGTGCAAGACGTTTCGGAATAGCCGCCCTCTCCCTTGTAGGTGAACATCCGAACTGTAGGATCTGCCTTAGCTCTTGCTGTACCCTCAGGGTTGTTATTGTCTCCTTGGCTCGATTCTTTATCGTCTTTAACCGCTTCCATGCTATTGTCGTCTCCTGGAAAACAGCCTCCTTCGCTATCACGCGCGTCGCTTGCTGCTATAGTGATGAGGCTTCCAGCATAGAAATCCCCCATGCGCGATGCCTCCAATTCCCACTCTGCCTGGTCATCTTGTACTATACACAAAGAGTCGATCCAAAGATAGCTGATACCTAACGAGCGGACTAATCTTATGGCGTGTCGGAAAGTTCTAGGAAGAAGGTTCTCAGGTATAGAAACGCCAAAGTCTTCTTCCGTAGCTCTTGTAGTTCTTAATGGAGTCGATGTTCCCCAGCAATAGCTCAATATTGCATATCGCACAGAGCCGGAGAGTTGCTGGAATACTTCACTCGTGGTAGGCACCAGGCGTAAAGGCTGATCCGGTCTCGTATCGATGAAACGTTTTGGCAATTCTCCCTTGCGTGGTTGGCAGTAGCTACCGTGCGTGCTCTCACAAGTATTCAACCAAGTCCTTGCGCATAGTATCCTGTCTTCTGCAAAAGTTCGGAGTGAATGTGTCCGACCTGACATCCAAAAGGAAGGATGCTGGCATACTACGGGAAGTAGTCAGTACATGAGTGTGAAGCTTGCTGCAGTATTGGTTTGGGAACAAGAATTGGGTTGAGACTCACCATCATGTGGATCCTGTGGCGAAATGCCTAGTGATGCCTCTGAAAGATACACAAAACTGTCTCGTGTGATTTCCAGTGAAACTTCGAGGCTTGCCCAGAGAATCCTACCAGTGTTGTTTACCTCCAATACTTTTAGAGCAACGGGATGTGAGCTTTCTGTCGTTACGTGCTCGAAACGCTCTCTAGCCTGGTTCAGACTGTGTTCAATCGGCAACTCCCAAAGAGCCGCGCACAACGGGCAATCTTTCTTGGAAACGAAGAGTTCTTTGGATTCCTGCACCCATACGGTCCATGGTATTTGGAACTTAAAAGGAGACTTCAAGCGAGCGGTATACTCGATAAAATGCCGGCAAATCTTGCATGGGTCCATGTCTGACCCGATGTGCTGGGGTATTGACTCAGTCAATTACTCTTCGTGCTGTTCTCGAGCCTGTTGTAAGAAGTTGAAACAAGGCATGTTGGTATCAGAAAGATCCCGATGGTCGTGCTGAACAGAAGAAGTTGAAGTCGATCGAATTCGCAGCTTGGCAACAAGTGACCCGAATTTAGGCAGCAGTCGGCGCTTATGCGGGGTATATTTGTGATGGCGGTTGCTTTAGAACGCGCAGCTGAAGTGCGAGTTCCACGCTGATTAGTTACTATTGGTCAATATTGATGTAAAGCTTCAGCCCCAGACTGTCTAGCTGACGGTGGCTTTTTCGATTTCAAGTTGCCAAACCCCGACGTCTACTCCAAAACATCCAAATACATACAAGCCCTGTTCTCAGGCAGAAATTTCAGCTTTGAGGTCCTCTGTGTTCATCCGCAAGCTGTCCTCCAGTGAAGTCCAACCAGGCTGTCCCAGCCGCTTCAATAGTGCCTCAGCGCGGTCGATGGGCTTGATGATAATTGGGAAAGGTTCGCTGGCAAAGTTTTCGTGGATGTTCTTGCCCGGGTGCTGCTTGCGCAAGATTTTAAGGACATCATCCCAGCAGAACGACTCGGCGAAACCAAAGATGCGTTCGCTCTTGACATCGGGTAAAATAGCGGCAGCCACATGCAGAATAGCGTCGTCCTGTACATCGATGAAGTATTCTAGCACGAAGTTAGCCATAGAGCGCCGGCTGTCCAACTTTCACTTCCAGTACTTACGGGGATGGCTAAAGTGAGGAGGCATTCTCTGTCCCTCGAGGAAAGGCAGGATGAAACCTGAGGTAGACCTGTGTCCCTGGTTCACAACATCAAGACTCTTTCCCAGGTTCATGCTGGGCAGGACTAATATGGCAGTTAGTATCCGAGACTGAAAAGCATAGGAGCTCACATTGCAGGCTTTTCTTACCAGAATTGACAACAAGGTCAGGGCGTTTGGACTTGTTCTCTTCGTGATATTTCCAAACGGCTTGCTCCTGCTCAACCTTACTGGCAACATAGACGAAAGCGCCATGCTCAGGACCCCACGGGCCCGGCGTCCAGGCCAGTTCTTTCGCGTCAGGGCTCCAAGTGTCCTCGGTCACAATGGCCCCCTTCATCTTCATAAAAGTTTCAGGGTTCGCGGCTAATGTGGTTGACGATGACGAGGTTAGCACGAAGCGCTTTACGCTCGGCTCCTTGTATGAAGCCTTGAGGGCAACCAAGGCGCTCTCTTTCGCGGTCGGAATGACGTTGTTTGGGTCAGGGTCGAAGCTGACGATGGATGCCGTATGAATGAAAGCCGAGACGCCTAGCAGGTATCAGCATGATAGAACAGTCCTCATCTACCTAGCAGTAGGAACATCAAATACTACCTTTCACGACTTCGTCATAAGCGGTTTCCGCAAGCATATCTGGAACTGAGACCAGTTCAAAGTGGCCCTTGCCGTAAGTCTTTTCAAAATAGGCATTGAGCCAGCTGCTCTTCTCGATGTCCCGAACGGTGCCGCGAACCTTGTAGCCATTCTTGATGAATTGATCGGCTACATGTGATGCGATGAATCCATTGGCCCCAGTAACGAGGACCGTCGAACCGGTAGGTATCACAGGGCTTGGGGAATTCATGTTGTCGATGTTCACTAGAAAGATCTTTGAGGTAATGCGACGAAAGCTGGAACGATATGGCTGGTCTCAACTACATTTATAGAGTCCGAGAGGAGTGAATAGAGTTCTCGACCTCGTTCGAAGGTTGCTGCCCTTCAGGCTTCATCCCATCGGCCCCGTATGGGTGCCCAGAGTTCGGACCCCCGCTTACAAATGTTTGCGGAACACGGTTTACTCAGTTACGCTGTACACCCCATGAAACTTGACTCATCTACCGAGTCCTTAAGCTACTGTAGCGGACTTTCGGAGTGACATTGTACATGATGTGAGACAGAAGGCATGCAAACTCGCGAAGAGTTGCGTAAGGGCCACGCAGGTTTCCCGGCCGGCGTATGCATGTGCCGCCTGGGGGCCGCATACACGGCCGAACGGTCGGAGGAGTGCAAATTATTGCTGCATTATTCAGCCGGCGATGACTCTTCCGCCGCAATGCGCGGACTTTCGGAGGTAGTGCTGACCGTCACAGTAAGCCTTAAACCCGGGCGTGTCCCAATAATATTGTTTCCAATAGCACTGTATGGCGCCACTGTAAGCATCAACAATAAAGCCATTTTATCAATTTTCCATCCATGACTTTCCCCGCCATCGTGGCTGCGATCATGAACAGCAATTGAGGGCGCAGTCCCATGACTTGACGACAGCTTCAGGTACAAACCTAATTCAACAGGCTCTTAACACTGAGTGCTCAGATGACAACACGCTCCAATAAAGGTACTAATAATTAGAATAAAGTCTACTACGTAATTTGGTTTTCAAGTGCGAAGGCGCCTCCAAACTTTAATAACTAGGTGAGACGCTTGCACTGCGGAAATCCAACCCCCACGCAAATACCCCGCGTGCCAGTCGCTTCCCGGACCCTAAATTTGGCGTTCCATTTTCAGGCATTTTTATGAGCGCTTCGGCTCATGTAAGTGCAACTTTTCCAGTCACAAGTATCCTGCGTAAGATCATGGTTAGCATGTTATTCCCAAGCGATGCTATTGTAAGGTGTCATTAACTTACTTTATGAACTTCGGTACCCCACCAACTAAGCTTCTTGGAAGCCCCGGTGTAGAATATGGCGAAGAAGATGACGATTCCAGCAATAGCAACTGAGCAGTCCAGCGCTGAGCTGAGAACAAAGTTGTAACGTCTCCACCAAGTTCTCTGCCTTCTTTTGATGAGCAAGCCAAAAGTGAGGCCGACAATCGCCCAGCTGCCGTAGTTGGTTCCGGACGCCGGGGGAATGTAGTTGAGTCCACCGAGGAAGAGCGGAATGTGGACTTTCTTCAACCACTTGGTCTCGGGGAAGACTCTCTTCCTCACCAGGTAGACGACCACGGGCAGGACGGCGCCAACGAGGAAGAACCACAGCAGCGAGCGGTACATCGCACCATCGGCAAAGAATCTACGGGGTCCGAGAGCACCCCAAACCATGCTGGTGTTGAAGTGCGTACGAGAGAAGGGGCACGTGAAGCCGTTGGGGGCGTTTGTGGAGCAGATCTCTGGGATGTGGTTGAGAGCCCAGTTGAGAACGGAGACTTGACCCAGAGAACCGATGACGAGGCCTACTGACTGCACGAGGAACAGTTTTCGGGGCGGAATCTGCAACGACGCGTTGTCAGCACGTAAAGGGCGGCTTTGGAAGGGGAACGAGGCGAAGAACTCACGTTACAGTAGATGCCCAATTTCAAGTCCTGAGCAAATGCTAGGCCTTTGATACCAGAAATATAGCCAAGATTGAAGAACCAGATATTGGCCAGAACCTTGCCTTCCCAGATGTATCCAGCAATGATACGGCAGAAAATATCAATTTGAATCTTCATATTCGTCGTCGCATAGACCCAAGCAAGCTGAATTTGGCGAGTTAGCATTTCTTCGTACAAGCAGCAGTATAAGAAGGTACGTACGGGAACGAAGAAGATGGCAGACACTGCAAACGCGAGAATGACTCCGTACCAACGAAGCTGAACTGGGTAGAACTCGCAAGCGAACATCCCGAATCCGAGAGCAAGCAGCGCAGCTACCCAGTACCACCAGAGCGGGACGGCCTTGTACCCTGGCTGAGGGTTGTGTCTAGGGACGATCTTACCCCCGAGAAGAGCAGAAAGCTGGGTAGACCTGAACGCAGCTGCAATGTGTCGGCGTTTCTCGAGGAACAACCAGACAAACAGTGACGCGATGGTGGCAAATGAGAGACCAAAGGTGTTTAGTGCGTATGTCACGGGAAGATAGATCTAATGAAGCGGTAAGTAAAATACTCCAGCATCACGGATTTCTATGAGGAGTTTTGGAGTGTATGCATACGTCTGAGTAGTTGGCGTATTTGACAGGATCGAAAGTGAAGTCGTCCTTCTTGTTAATCACTCTGGAGACGTTGAACGTCTTTCCCAAGTTATCGTAGATGGAATTGCTCTGGATGGGTAAGTAGGCCGAGTCCCAGGTGTTTGAGTAGTAAAGCGCCGGAGAAATGATGTAGATCCAGAACACTAGAGACGCCAGGATGTTGAGAATGGCCCACGTGGGAACGACAAGCGGAGAACCAATATAGGCAATTTGACTCCCTATTTGACATCAGAATCAAGGAGCTTTCCAGGACTTTATTGGGCCTGTGAGGGTTCACTTACAGTCGAACGTGAATGGAAACAAACCGATGCCACTCTTCATGCCGAAAACCTGGTTGACAACCGCATTATTTGGAGCGATCCAGCAGACCCAGGTGAAGTAGCCCAGTGCTGGAAAAATGAAGTCTGGGAACCAATACCAGCAGAACGAAGCAATAAAGGCGAGCATGAAGAACTTGTAGCGAGATGCCGTCCACTTTGCTCTAGGGTGCCGATGTTAGAATAAATTGAACTAAGCATTGAATAATTTGAGGACACTTACTCGGTCTCGTCCTCTCTCTTGCCAGTGTGCAGCGCAGCATTGAGGGCTGTGTTTCCAAGAACACCAGGCCACAGCAATCCTGGGGGCTCAACAACCAATGCATAGCATAGTCCAGCCAAAGCGAAGCCGTAGAGAATCGTTGACAGTGTAACGGTCAACTCGAAGCCCCATCCTGCCTCAAGCCCGTAAAAGACTCGCTGTTCGGTCAAGACATCGGCACTCAGCCGAGTCAAGAAGCTGAGATTGGCCATGATATAGACTAGGATGTTTTCCTACGAGATAACGGGTTGTTAGCGTCGGGTGCCACGGGGGCTATAATATTCAGGGATGATGCCAACCTTGTAGTTGAAAGGGCCTGGGTTCAGGCTGATGCGATTACCCCTGATGTTAAAACCCCAGTCGGGAATAACAAACTCCCATGCCTTTCCAACAGGGTATGCCAGGAATTGGATCGCTGACTGGGAGAGACTGATGGATGGGAATCGGAACGTGTACAAAGTGTTGACGCCGCTACCCAAAAGGCAAAATCCAATGCCAATCACCCACATGCGGAGCGTCAGGCATGGCAAAGAAGGATCATCGGGTCTCAAACCAACTCCAGCAGCATACAGAACATCTCGACTCGGCGCGGAGGATTCGTCTAGTCTTGGTCAGGAAGGGATTATTCGAATGGAATCATATTGGTCGCACCTGAAGAACGCTTCGCTTCCTCAATGGACGTCGTCGGTGTCACAGGCTCTGGCGCGACGTCCGCGACGTCCGCCCCCTCGATGGCGGACTTTTGGTTCGCCTCGACGTTGGCCATATTCGATTGTCGAAGAAAATTGTACTCGGTTGGGACGAGATCATCAAGATTAGATCAGATTAGATGCGAAGAGGTTCCAACAGACTTTTATCCTTCCCGCTCAAAGCTTGGACCTCGGAGCCTCCGCGTCTAAGACGGGACTCGGCGGCGCCAGAGTGGGAGGGGTCCCACATGTCCCGTGCCGGACTCCGGCCGCTGGCTTAAGCTTGATGAATCCGTGACTGATACTACGGGATGTTCTGAGGGTAATTGTTTGTGTTTTCTACGGAAATGGTTCCGAATATGGAAGGCATATGGCCAACCATGTCTTAAGGTGCAGCGCAGAGGCATCGGAATTCCGCCCCATTGGCATCATCCTTGGTCACGGCGACCGCGGGAGGCTCAACCCATGGCCTTGTAGGGCTAAACGAGAGCCATTTGGAGTAACGCTAATCAGGCTTTTGACGCCGTCCGGCCCGAGAAAGTGGTGGAGGAGACGCCGAGACGGGGATGCGGCCTCAAGATGAGATGGTTTCTCCACTCTTTAGATCTTTTTGTCCACTTAGAGGCGATTGTGTAGTCAAGAATTCCCATAATCGCCGACGGCTTCTGGATATTTATTCCGTTCGAGGTCAAGTGCGGCTATCGCGAGGTCAGCCATCATGAAAAACCAACAGTGTCTGTGGCTTGAGTATTTTGCATTGGAGGTATGGGTACTGAGAGCTTCCTCGACCCAAAAAGGAGATGTCGTATTTGATGACTCGCCGAATTCCCGAAGCATTGACAAACAAGACAAAGATCGATGCATGCGAAGGCATCATTCAGAATACGAACATACGTTATCTGGTAGGTAGTCACCACTGCCTTACTTCAGACTTATAAGACTCGTGTGGCCGACTGTTCCAAAAAAAAAAGAAGAAGTTTGGTCTTTCTTCACAGATTACACCTACGACAACCTGCCGAGCCCGATACAAACAGTCGACACTATGCCGGATGCAGCCTTACACCACTAGCCACGGAGGCCCAACGCTTCGACGAGAGGATTTCACTAATCGCAACGATCTAACAACAATTTTCAAGCCGGTCTATCGATGGCCCGTGGAAATGGGAAAATTGCTGACGCCAGCGGCCAAAATGAGGGATAAAAAGCTCCAGTTTCTCGCTCTACCCCCTTCTTCCCGAACGAAATCCGACCAACCCCACCCTCTCTGTACCGGTTTGACCCGTTAAGCCACGGCCAAACTCCGTCGACCTCGAATAGGTCGAATCATCGTCCACCTTTGACACATTTAGCCGCTCGTGGGGCCTTTCCAACCGAGACTACCATTCCGCATTCCGCATGCATGCACGACCATGCATTCCCTCTCGCGGTTCTCCAATTCTTTCCCTGAGTTCGGTAACTGCGAAAACTCCAGTCCTGCAGGTTGAAGACCCCATCTGTAGTGTACGGCCGTTCGTCTTGAGCTATTGGGTATGACTTGGGCAAACTTTCTGCAACTGCAGTCGTGAAAAGTGAACCCCATGGGCAAAGTGTGGATTCGTGTGCCTTCGTCTCTTCTTTTTGAGGAGCATCGTGGATACTTGGGTCTCCTGTCAATAATAAGCTCAGGTCGCCAAGACGGCTCAGCACGAGCCTGGAGCTTGCTTCTCATCTCCAACTGTTGGTCCGCAGACATGACACTATGCTTTCAGTTCGCCTCTCGAGGCCGCGAATTCTGCTTCCAACTTCCAATTGCAAAATGACCTTGAAGACCGGCCAACTTCCGATTCCCTCTCTAAGACACTCCGTGCTGAGAAGGATGTGGAAATGGTCCTAGTGCATGGAGGAAAGTCTAGAGCGTTAAAGATCGCAGACTTCACTGAGGCACCACTATTTGTCTCACCATTCGTCCGAGACATTGAAGAAGGCCCAGATCTGGCTGGAGCTGCTGCCCGTCTCCATCGCGGCCTAGCCTGGGTTGGGATCCTGCTGCTGCGAGGCTGCGAGCCTTGCAGGTCCCTGCGTATTGCAGTTCCGATCTAAGCTGTACTTTGGTAGCCCATCGGGACTTTGGTTGAAATGGTAGTACTCTGTGATAGGATTGTTTCAAGGCTGTATCATCGGCGTACTTTCGCTCGCAGTTATCCATTGCGTGGCTCCTTACAGAGTTTCAAAAGGATGCAGCTGACTTTCGATGATGTATGTAGACTCTGAAACTACGAATTAGTTCGCAGCCCCCTAGTTGTGGCTTACCCAGCATGTATCAAACTCTGCCATGAGTTTGTCTACTCTCTACAGTAACTACAAGTTTTCCTACATATATTTCGTTCGCACTATGTCGCAACTTTTGAAAAGCTGTTACCATGCTGAAGGTATCAACACTAAAAAGACTGAAGATACGTGGATGTTGAACTCCATGAGAAAAGTTGCAATGATCTATGCTTTAAGCAAAACTCGTTTCATCCAATTTTATCGAAGAAGATACTCAGAGTATCATGGCGGAAATTCACGCAATGTCACAAGTGACTCAAGTCTCTACTTCCGCGTAGCAGGGAGCACCAAGATCTCAACTTAAACATTCTGAATGCAGCGTCATCTTTGCTCGTCTACTTGATCGTGCCAGAGACCTGTCTTTCAGAGTGTAAATGATCCCCAAACCCGGATGATCGCTCTTCTTCGCTTCAGTGTTGGCCCGCAATTCGAATTATGTCGTGAAACTCAACTCATCGGTAACCTCATGACGAGAAACCGCGAGGACTCGATGATTTCGTTGTGTTCAATGTCTGACCAAGACGCGCCTAGTAGAGCCGTATAAGTGGTGATCAGGGCTCGCAGCTCAGATCTCTGGCCATAATCGAGAAGGTAGCGTGACGGGGGAACTACCGACAATTCTACTGGCAATGTTTGATTTCACAACAACTTCATTTTGTAGCTGGGGATTAGTTTCGTCTAAGTGTTGTAAAAAAGCGACATGAGCCAAAGCTCAAAGATCATGGCTTTCCAGAATATTGCTAATTCGACTTCTGGTGACTTTCGCCGCAAACAGTCAAGGGGTGTTTTGCCTCCGAGACCTACCTTCGGAAACTCTGAAGAAAGCGGCATTGGCTGGGTCTTTGTTTCAATAATGTCAAAGTTGTCGACATACGCTCAGAGAAACTTGTCGGCAAACTCAAGGATGAGCTCAGCAGCAATGCAGCCTGCTGTGTTAGATTGCTAGCTGAAAAGTTTTCGGCTGAGAAAGGCCTGGACGTCTCTTGGCGGAGCTCGATTCGGGTTGACACGCCTATTCGTTGTTGGACCTCGTCCTAGTTCATCCGTGGACGTGGAAACTCTAAGCGAGAGGTTTTCCAGTTTGTCGTGGGCTGAGGCCGTGAGTCTAGGAGAGTAATCGGATCATCCTTGGGCAACTCGGACACTGTCGTCTGCAACTCGTCTATTGCGGCTCCTCGAAAATCATTTTTGCCCAACGTCGTAATGGTCTGGCGTGTGAAACTGAAAGATGATTTCGATGGCTGTCAAGTCGGGGTGCTGTGCCGTCTTTGTTCCCTTGAGTCAGTGGGCTCGTGAGGACTTTCCCTCGGAGCACGTCGTGATAAAACCGACATTTGACGGCGATGCACATTACCTCCGATCCAGTCAGAATTGAAGTTACGAGACAACCGCCTGGGGCGCTTGTGGCAATACTAAATGATTTTTTTCCTTCTGGATCGGATTCGGCCAAGAATGCCTGGAAACTCAGCTTCTCTTGATGAGTCTTTTTTTTCGGGGACTGGCCATTCGGGGTATTTTCCCCTTCCAGTAACTTGCTCGGTTGGTTCGTACTTCTGACCTGTCGAAGGATGCTTCCATAAAACCCACATCGCTCAGGTGTCAGTCGAGAACTGCCGCCGCTATCGATACCGGCCAGTGAGAATTTGGGCAATTGTCCTGGTCGGTCAGCGCGCCCCTGTTGGCGTTCAGGTTTTGCATTGACGGCTGAGGAACTCAATATCGCTTGTCGTCCGCGACGAGGACCGATCGTGGAGCCTTTTTCGTGTCGCTCTGGCGCCAACAAGTCTTTTTGACACATAGAAAATTCCATTTATTGGAAGCGTAGTTCAAAATAACTCAGACCAACTGAACAGCCACACTGTGACACCAGAGAAATCAGACACATAACGCGCCACGTCAGCTGCGCTTAACCCACCATCACGTCCTTCTCTATGACTCGACGATTTGGGGGTTCACTCGAGATGGATAACGGCACAGTAATTAACGGCACATCATGCCGGCGTCCTGGCAATAAGTCGGACGCAACAGCCGTTCCCGTTCCTCGCCGACCGTGGCCCGCGATCGGCGGAATCGCCCTGATGTGGCCCGAGGTACATGATAACCTTCCCTCCGGGAAAAAGCCAAGCCTACGGATCAAGACACCAGCAGATCATCGCATGGTCCCATAGGTGTCATTTTTGAATCTAGTCCACTATGGGTGCTCATCACTACCTAGACAGATGGTAGACGGGTGACGGGCAGGAGGCGAAAAAGAAAGAGTGAGACCGAGGACACCATCACCGCCTTGGCTCGCACTGCTCACTGCTCGATCCCACTTGCCGCGATGTGCGTCCTGGCACACCTTGTCTGCATGGATGGCGCCGAGTTTTTGGATTTCTCTTCACGGGAACAGCTCTTGATTGGCCACATTAAGGTGATAGACTACTTCTGCAAGGATCCTTGTGGTGTCACTCCAGCACTGACCGACGGGATATGACCATTCGATCGTTCATGGATAATAAGCCCGCTTGAAAGTGGGGGTTTGGCTTAGCTTACGGATATGTGGGAGATGGTCCCTTGTTTGGTCTCGTTTTTGCACCCATGTTTTCAGCGATGCTCCCTGCATTGCCAAGTGTTGAGGGAAAAAAAAACCTTTTCTGCCACCAACGGCTGTGCCGCAAAATTGAAGAAAGTCAAGAGCGCTATTAGTTGCAGAAGCTTGCCTAGCGGTAGGACGGGACGGTTACTGGCCTGGTGAGCTTTTCGGGAGGCGTTCGACGGCTTCAACACTCATAGCATGAAGAGCTTCGGAGAGGGTGCGTACGATTACAAGCTCCCGAGGCATGTGAAGCAGGCTGGAGATGGCATCTGGAGAGGGGGGTCACTCCCGCGCACCCACTTGCAACGTCGACCTTGGAACACGGCGGCCACATGCAGCAGGAAGCAACTGGAGAGTTGGAGATATTCTGGTGAGATGTGAGTGACCAGGAACCAGAAACCAGTCGCTCCACCCCCACCACCACGTTGGCGGCCCGACCAGACACGATGGATGATGGAGCCCTCCGAATACCAGAGTTGCAGAGACAGACCCTTCCACCTGCTTCAAGGGCCTTCACACCCTTTCACGCCACTTTTCTTCTCGAAGTTTTGCTGCCAATGATGACCGCTGAACCAACGGATTCGCTGATCCCTTCACTTTCCGGTATAAACCGTCCATCCATAACGATCCATTTACCTGGGCATTCCACAAGACGGAGTCGCAATGAGGGTCTAGCCAGCTACGCGGCCTCCGACCTAGAGCTGTCCGGCCTGGGCGATCCCACTACGCTAGCACGAACCTAACCATACCTCCGATGGGCCCCAAGGTTTGATTCGCCCCTTGCCATCTAATCTGATCATCTGATAAAGGCAAAGATTGGGCGACATCGGCTGGAGATTTTTATGGATGTTGGGACGGGGGGTCCATCTGCCAATATAGAAAGGCCCGCATAGAACCTCGTGTCCTCGATCTGAATTTTCTCCTTCTCTTGGTTCTTCAAGCAAGGTCAAACAGGCATTCGCCTTCAATATACTATTCCTTCTTGCCAACAGCTTCCCCGTTTCCACCCTCTTGAAAACCCTGTTCGTTGGGTTTTTCTACTGTGGCACTTCGTCGCCTTTTTTCTTGCGACCGATAATCAACAATGGCTACCATCGAGCCGCAGACGGCCGCCCACCGCACAGAGGCTGGCATCGACTATGAGAAGAACATTGCCTACGACAATGGCGCCCAGGAGGTCAATCATGACACCAAGCAGGAGTCTGACGCTGAGAGCGAGAACTTCCAGGGTGGTGTTCAGCGTGTCAGAGCCATCACCTCCGTGTGGTCCAAGAAGACCATGATCATCATGTTCTGCTTGTGAGTATCTCGCCATCCGCCCCCTGGGCAACTCAAAGTGATCCCTGAAGCGTATAACTGACTTGTGTTCGTTTCGAAAAGGCTCTACCTCGTCTCCTTCGCCGATCTGCTTCTGCAGTCCGTTCAGGGCTCCCTGAACGCCTTCGTCACATCCTCCTTCGGAAAGCACGGTCTCCTGGCCATCGTCAGTATCTTCGCTACCATCCTGTCAGGATGCTGCCAGCTTGTCATTGCCAAGATCATCGACGTTTGGGGACGTTCTGAGGGTTTCGCCATCATGATCCTATGCTCTGTCATCGGTATGATCATGAAGGCTACCTGCAAGAACATGGAGACCTACGTTGCCGCCCACACCATCTACTACGTTGGTCACTTTGGCATGATGTTCGTCATTGACATCATGATCGCCGATATGACTTCGCTGCAGAACCGTATGATCATGTTCGGAATCAACGGTACCCCTACCATTGCCGTCACCTTCGCCGGTCCCAAGATCGCCGACCTCTTCTACACCAACCTCAACTTCCGCTGGGCTTTCGGTGCCTTCGCCATCATTCTTGCTGGTGTCTGCATTCCCGCCCTGACCATCATGCTGCTCATGCAGCGCAAGGCTGAGAAGGCTGGTCTCTTGGCCAAGGCTAAGTCCAACGACCGCTCTTACCTCCAGGGCTTCATCTACTACTTGATTCAGTTCGATAGTAAGTTTTCCCGCTACAGCTGATTGAATAACTCGCGAAACCAGGCGCTAACCATGTTTCCAACAGTCATGTGCATTGTCCTCATCATTGGCATGTTCTCCATGATCATGCTTCCCTTCAACATCGTCTCCTACGCCCCCAACGGCTGGAAGACCGGCTACATCATTGCCATGGAGGTCGTCGGAGTTGTCCTCATCCCGATCATCTACGTCTGGGAGAAGTACCTCGCCCCCGTCAGCTTCATCGACTACAAGTACCTCAAGGAGCCGACCCTTATTGGCGCCTTCCTCCTCTACGGAATCATGTTCATCTCCATCTTCACCTGGGATACCTACTACCAGTCTTACCTCCTGGTTGTCCACAGACAGAGCATCACCTACGCCGGATACATCCTGAACGCCTTCTCTCTGACCTCCTCCTTCTTCGGCCCCATCTTCGGATTGGTCATTAGATGGACTGGTGACTACAAGTACACCGCGCTTGCTGGTGTCCCCTTCATGCTTCTGGGTACCGCTCTCCTGATTCCCCTGCGTAAGCCCAGCACCCCCGTCGGTGCCCTGGTCGTCATGCAGATGCTCAACGGTATCGGCACCGGTCTCTTCGCCGCCTGCGGTCAGATCGCCGTCATGGCCGTCGTCACTCACCAGGAGATCGCCTCCGCCATGGCCATCTACTCCCTCTTCGGTGGTATCGGTTCTTCCATCGGTTTCGCCATTGCTGGTGGCCTGTGGAACAACATCATGCCTAAGGAGCTGTACAACAACCTCCCCGACTACGCCAAGAACAGAACCGCTGAGATCTTCGGCGACGTCACGATCCAGATGTCCTTCGAGGACGGCGACCCCATTCGCGACGCCATCGTTGCCGCCTACGCTGATGTCCAGCACAAGATGGTCATTGCTGGTTCTTGCTTGGTTCCCCTTTGCTTGGCCTCCATCCTCCTGTGGAAGCACATCAACATTAAGAAGGTCGAGAGCGAGAAGGGTACCCAGACCAAGGGCAACGTCTTCTAAACGATTTCGTTTTACCTTTGACCACTCTGGGACAACCCAATGTCCGTATGGACCAAAAATTCTCGTCATGTGTTTCTAGCCATTAGGCAGGGACTAGGCATTGCGGACTCATCATACCCCTTATCCGCATGTCGAGGACCTGCTAAACCCAATGTGTTTCAATCTTCCTTGGTTGGACTCGATAAATGTACTTAATCGCATGGGCCGGCCTCAGAAAGGGGACCCGACAAATAATCTTTTTCAATATCACACTCTTATGAAGTAAACATGTGCCCCTCGCTGTGTGCCTTGTGAATGATCATGTGCTCAAGAGCCAATTGAGTTTAACGAGCTTTCGTGGGAAGTTATGTCATGTTGCGAGGAATGGCACAGAGCGAGTTTTCGGTGTCGCGCAGAGACACGGAGAGGCTTGCGAGAACCTCTCAATGCGGCTCCGTTATTGTGACTAATCTCTCAGGAAGCACCTGTGGATGGAGCGTACCTGGACACTTAATGCGGCATCTGTATAGACCATTAATGCCCAGTCTTCCATGCCGCGATTACGAGATGGGGAGGGTTCATCTGCCTCGGACTTACTACTACTTTGCTTCATGTTGGGTACTAAGTCAGACGACGAGTCCAGCAGCAACTGCCAGTCGAGATGGGCAGTAGGCTTCGTGGTGCATGATGATCTTATCCGGGTTGATCGTCAAGTCGAATTTGCGTGGTATCTTGAGCTTCATCCACGCGACATTGCCATGGGAAGATCCCGAACCGGTCAATATAGCAGCTCATTGCCATGTGGCTTGACATGTATGGATACTGAGGTGTGGCCAAGTCCAATGCTGGCGCCAGAGGCCACATGTACAGAGTCAGATATGTTCCCTCGCGCAGTCCCGTGAGGCCTTCCTGCGCCATGGTGTTTTGACAATCAACAACAATTGATTGCTCCGATCCGTTGTGGATTCAAAGCTATGGTAAGATATCACTGCATGCAGCAAGAGCGAGACCCTCCGTCTCCTGTGGCGCCGCGTAAGAGCGAATGAAGCGAGGCGGTCCAATGTCAGACCGAGCGAGAGCGACACCCACGAAGGATGCGCCAGTGAAACATTTGAAAGCCAATGGAGGTGCTAGCGCTGTTGGTCGGCCCAACTCCTCTCTGAAATCCCCTCCCTGCAGCAAGCCACCCGCTTACCCTCCCATCCTTCGCACCGGCCCCCAACTGTACTGCCACGAGTGGAACTTGATACACTCAGGCATATTGCTGGAGTTCCTCCGTCGAGCGGTGAAATCAAGCTCGCGGTGGCGTCCTTAGTGCCCCGAGCAACGGCCAGTTGGTGAAGATGTCGGCACAACAGGACTCCATGAGGCGTCATCCGCGACGCCAGCCTCCCGTCTCACGGCGCGGGGTCGCAGCGCGGGAGGCATAGCATAGCCTAGGAGTGATAATATTGCCATACAAGTTCGGGATATAGAAGAATGGGTATAAGTAATGAATGATGGAACGACCAGATGTTGTGATTACAAGAAACGAGACTACAAGATCATCAATCAAGACATCCACCCCATTTCGATACCATCTGATCAGGTTCGCCTTCACCACACACTACCACCATCACAAACTTCATATCAGGCTCTTTAATTCAGCATGTCTGCAACCACTATCCGCAAAGCTGTCATCACGGAGTTCGGCGACGTCTCCAAGGTCCAAATCATTCAGGACACCATCGAGCCGCCTCCAGCAAACCATGTCCAGGTCTCAACCATCTACTCCGGTTTCTCAGGCGCCGACATCAACATGCGCAAAGGCGTCTACCCCCTGCAAAAGAAGGCCCCGCTGACTCCGGGCTACTGCCTCGTCGGCTCCGTCAAGACCACCGGCCCGGGGTGCACATCCAAAATCTCACCGGGCGATCTCGTCGCCTGCCTCACAATCTACGACGCCGAAGCCGAGCTGGTCAACCTGCCGGAAAAGTACCTCATCAGAGTACCCCCCGGGACCGACCTGCAGCAGGCAACAGCCCTCATCCTGGACTGGAACACAGCGTACGCCATGGTCTTTGACGTCGCCAAAGTCAGCAAAGGTCAGCGCGTTTTCATCCACGGCGTCAGCGGGGCCGTCGGCTATGCCCTTATGAAGCTGTGCCAGCTGCAAGGCGCCGAGGTCTACGGCACAGCATCGGAGCGGAACCACGCGGCAGCCCGGGAGCAAGGGGCCCACCCGTTCGTGTACACGGACAAGAAGTGGATGCAGGCCGTGAAGGAGCTCGGCGGGGCGGACGCCGTGTTCGATCCCCTCGGGTTCGAGAGCTGGGATGAGTCGTTTTCGGTTCTGTCGCCTACCGGTATCTTGGTCGGCTACGGCGGCAATCTGCGCTCACTCAACGACGATTCGGAGCATGGCTCTGTGATCTTGCCGACGATGAAACTTATGGCGCGCGGCATGGTGCCGTTTTGCGGCAAGAGGACCAAGTTCTACTACATTACGCGCGACGACGCGACGTTTGAGCCGAATCTGAAAGCTTTACTTGAGCTGGTGGCTGAGGGCAAGATCACCGTTCCCATCAAGAAGGTGTGGGAGCTCGAGGAAATTCAGGATGCCCATCGCCAGTGGGCGAGCAGTACGGGGGTTGGATCATCGCTCATTCGGTTGTCGGATGTGAAGGTGTGAGTGAGTGAGTGAGTGAGTGAGCAAAGGAGTGAGCGGGTGAGTGAGTTAATGGGTGGAAAACTGTTAGGTTTTGAGCAGCAGGCGTTACGGCGTTTTCATCATTGTTCATGTATCCCAATAGGCTTGGACTTATAATAGTAGAATGAATCTTCAAATGAGTTGTCTGGATGATCTGACCAATCTCGCTTCTATCATGGGGTGTTTTTTTACCTTCCTCATTCCGCCTGGCGGCGTCCAACATTTGGTATTCTGGTGAACAAAAGGGCGTAAGACGGGATCATTGCGCGCCGCGCTTACAGGCCTAAAGGCAGGCCATGCTGACGCAGCAAAAGGCTGTTCGGTTGCTCAACTCATTCTTCACGCCCTTGAAAGCAAGCTTCCCCTCATATCACGCCGTTCATCTTCAACTCAATCGTGTCGACCGGCGCCTTCCCTAACATTAGCTGCAGTTCGGCGATAAACTAAAACGCGCCAGGTGATTGGCAGCCGCGACGTCTCTTCGCCAAAGGCATCTTTCCGACATTCGTCAACTTCTCTGCACCGGGAAAAGTACTCGTCAACTTCATCACAACACAATCGCTTCATCACAGTCTTTCATAGCCCGAACGCAATGAAGGTTTCAATTGGCCTGGCCGCCGTCACGGGCCTCGCCGGCTTCACTGCCGCCAAAAAGCCCGACCCTCCCAAGATCACCGACTTTGACTGGGATACCATCACGCCCGCCCGCAAGCTGGAATACCACCCATGCTACAAAGACTACCAATGCGCCCGCCTCAGCGTCCCTCTCGACTGGCTCGACGAGACGAACGAGCACACGGTCGCTCTGGCAATCATCAAGCTCCCTGCCACCGTCCCCGACGACGACCCATCTTTTGGCGGCACCGTCTTCACCAACCCAGGCGGGCCCGGTGGCTCCGGAGTGAGCATGCTGCTCCGCAATGGCCACGATATGCGCCGCACGCTGAGCGGCGGCAGCAAAAAGTACGAGATGCTGAGCTGGGATCCGCGCGGCGTGCAATTCACAACGCCCGTGGCTGATTGCTACGAGGACGAACTCGCGAGGGACACGGACAACATCCAACGTTTGGCCATCGGGCCGCTTGATGCCAGTCCGGATGCATTGAGAAGGCAGTGGGCGAGGATTCAGGGGTACGGCAGGCTCTGTACCGAGAAGCCGGGCAACGGCTCCATTATCCCATTTGCTACGACGGCGTCTGTCTGCCGTGACATGGTCGAGATGGTGGACAAGATTGACGAGCTTCGCAAGGAAGAAGCAGTAGCCTCGCAACCCGAGCAGTCGCTAGAGCTCCGGAAGGTTAAGGAGGTGCCGCGGATTCAGTACTGGGGCTTCTCATACGGCAGCATCCTCGGCAATACGTTCGCCTCAATGTATCCTGGGCGCGTAGGCCGGCTCATTGTTGATGGCATCGCGGATTCAAATGACTACGTGGCAGGGGTAAGAGTGTACCTATAGTCCCATTCACCTCTTCGTATGCGGCTAACACATGTGTGACTAGGGCTGGAAGACCAACCTTCAAGACACGGAGAAGCTTGTTGACTATTTTTACGAGACATGCTTTGAGGCTAAGGAGAAATGCGCGCTGAGCCGGCCTTCGGACAAGCAGTGGCAAGACATTCGTGATCGAGTCGATCAGCTCGTGAAACGTCTCGACGAAGCCCCCGTCGCGGTACTCAACGGCAAGGTGACAAACATCTTGACAGGGTACGATGTAATCCTTTCCTTCAAGAACCCGCTCTACGCGCCCTACACTCGCTTCATCAAACTCGCCAACGAAATCAATGCTGCCATCGAGGGAAACTACACTGCCATCCTGGAGTCCGCCTCCGCCGAGATTCCCAAGATCGACCAGGCCTGTACCCATCCAAACGCCACAGATCTGAGGCTCTCCTGGGGAGACGGCGGTCAGGCGGTCCTTTGCGGCGACGGCGAAGACAACACGAATATGACCCTCGCCGACTACAGGGCCTACGTCGCGGAGCTCGAATCCCAGTCGCCGACCTTCGCCGGCTACTGGGGACAGATTCGCTCCGCCTGCACGAGCTGGCTCGTCCGCCCCAAGTGGCGCTTCACAGGCCCGTTTACGACACCGCCGCACGATGCTGCGGTTGTAGAAGGCCGGCCCGCAGCGCCGCTGCTGTTCATGTCTTCGCGGCTCGATCCCGTGACACCGTTGAGGAACGCTTTTAAAGCGAGTGAGGGACACCCCGGGTCAGTTGTCGTGATTCAAGAGTCGGTGGGCCACGCTGCCTTTGCCACGGGGAGCAAGTGCACGACCAAGATCCTTCAGGAGTATCTCGAGCATGGGACAGTGCCGGAGAGCGGGACCGTTTGCCAGCCCGATTGTGGCCCTTGGGATGGCGATGCGTGTGAGTCGGATAGCTTAAGCGTCAACGTGGCGCCTCTTGCGCCGCCACATGATAGATCTCATCACCGTCTCTATTGAGGGAAGCCGGGATAAGACAAAAGATATCGGGAGATGTCCCTGGCGAGGATAGAGGTATTGATAGATGCGCCTCCACAGGGTGACTATGGGAATAGGTACGAGAACAGCAAATAGCTACATACTAGAATCGTAGATTCAAGACACTGGGAAAGTCAGACATTGCTCAACGACCTAAATGGAACGCAAGGCGTTGAAGCTTACTTGTAACGTTTGAACCCTTGCATGAAAGATGCTTCCGAGAAACATTTGATCGCAAGTGGGTGCTTGTTCCGGAGATACTTTCGCTGACCGCTGAATGCAGATGTCAGACGCACGTCTAGGTAGCTGAGCGGAGCTGAAGCCGATCTCACATCCGACATCCGAGTTTGACCGTATTGCCACGAATTGCCAGGAGATGCCGCAGGAGGTTCTGCTCTAATCCAATTGAATGATGGGAGAAACACTTTCGTCCCATCCCTGACTACCATACGGTACTTGACTCCCCATCACAAAATGCCATGTCTTATCCTTCTCAAATCCACACCGACTTCTAGGTTACACTTGATAGAAGGCCCAACTGAGACATGGTCCCAGATGGACGTCAGTCTCATGCTCGGTACGATGTGCAGGACAACCCCTCTCCTTCCGCCCTGATACGAGATGTTTTGTTAGTCCGCTCTTAGGATCCGGGATCTAAGGTTCCCCAGACCGGGCTTGGGACCGAGGGGCGATCAACCTGCACGCATCCGACGAGGAGGCGATTAGGTACCGGCGCCTCCCCTCCCTCATGTTGCCAAACAGTCCCCAACAAAAGCCGGTAAAAGAGGGCATTACACAAAACGTGTTCCACTTCCCCTCCATGCCGGTGCCATTTCAGCTTCTACCCAAAGTTCCCTAGGGATTCACACGCACGCTAGTGACTGAACCCAGGTCAGCCCGAGGATCAATCTGTTCTAGTGTCTTGCGGGGAGATCGTGGCATTGGTCCGACTGACGCCACTCTCGGGACGTTTTCCCTGGTTTTTCTGCCACAACCTTCTTTTTTTACGAGATCGATCGGCAGTAGTGAGGAATTAGCCTGAGAGGAAGATGGTAACGCCAATGATCTGTCAGTAACGCATCGTGATGATGGTTGACAAGGGACTAAAATATCTTTCGAGGCGTGGACCATGTGAGTTCGTATTTGTGGTACGAGTGTCATGCCCGAAGACGGGTCATGGACGGTTATGGGAGGACGAGTGTTGATCGTACAGCAGCGCAGGCGCTGGACTGATCTACGTGAGGGAGAGCCGAGGCATCTTGCTTCCTCGCGAAGTCGGAAGGATGCGGTTGAGGTCGTTGCATCCTGTCTCGAAGGAGTATAAAGATGCTCATAAAGTCTCGGTAGCTAGGTTTGATAAAACTCAGGAGAAGTTCGTCCTACCCTATCCATTAATTGATCATCCCGCCCTCACCATTACAATTCCAAGTTCCAGCCTTCAATACCTTGAAATTCTTCTAATTTCAACATTCCCACCATGAAGTTCTCAGTGCTTCTTGCTTCGATTTCCTTCATCCTCCCGTCCCTATCCCATCCGCTCGAAGATCGCGATGCCCCTCAGACAGTCCACCTAACCTTCCACGGTGGCCCTGCATCCTACGAGATGACGATCCCCGCCGATGGGCAGGTGTATCCAACAAGTCAGTTCCACCCCGCCCGACCGTTCGTATCTTTGAGAGTGTAAGATCAAGTGCTAAACGATTCAACACGCAGACAACGATATCTCCGTCAACATCATTGACGCACCAGACTACAATGCCCTCTCCCAGTGCACCTTCTACACAAACGGCGAGAAGGCTCTGGTTGGCGGCATCACGCCCCAGGGTCTTCAGCAGGTCATCATTGGACCGCCGCAGCCCGTCACAGGAGTCAGCTGTCTCGGTATCTGTGTTCCAACGTATGGAATGTGCTACGATCTCAATGGGCAGTACGTCGGGCCGTGTTGCAACGGCTTCTGCGCGGCCACGAGGTGCAGACCTTGGATTCAACCTTCTTGAACACAAGCCGATGCTGATGGTTCTCGTACTCATGATTTGCTTCGCATTCGAGACGTTTAGCAACCTGCCGAGCGGGACGTACACTCAAGCTATTGTATGCGGCTCCTGGGCTAGCTAGAGTAGAAGCCTATCACCTTGCTTAATCTCTTGATCTGGGCTGTGTTAAGTAATTCCAATCGCTCAACTATCGTATTGAAGCACTCCTCTCCATGAGCTGACGCGTTCCGGCAAGCTGCATGTGCAATCCGAAGGTAAGTTCAATGTAAAATGTGGTTCCAAACCATGAATTGGCAGCAGCCTTGATTTTCTCCCCCTGAATCTGTACATGAGCCGGCGAAGGATAATATTAGTCATGTTACATCTAGACAAATAAAAGGCCCTGAACGCATACATCTACTTCATCTCCATATTCTGAGTTTGCGACTGATACCCAGTGTTGATCGGCCCATAATCAGTCCGCCCCTTGACTTCATTCTCATGCTGAATGAGCACGCAGCAGGGGCACCAAAAAGAGACGCAGCAGTCGCCACACGTGCTCCCCTCGATATGGAATTTCTTCCGGATATCGCCACGCTTATTCATGAGAAATCTGAGCAGAAGCCTAGAATCAGCGTCTACCATATCACGCGGTAGATGTCTTGAGGAGAGGAGAGAACAGAAGGTATCGACTCAGCATGTAACGTACAGCCAACCTAGACCGATGGAGCCGAGAGCCGAGATCATGAAGCAGTCTCCGTTGACGGGTGAGTAGTCCGAGAGGCTGGGGTCGCGCATGCGTTCAGAGGTCTGGCCAAAGACTGATGTGAGAGACGCAGAGTGCGTTGGTCAGCAACGGGATGGACTCTCGTTGAAGTACTTAAGATACGTCGGTTTGAGAGAGGGTTTGGTTGGTTGACATACCCATGCACGGGAGGAATGAGGCCATCATGCAGGTGCCGCATGGGCTGCAGTCCAGTAGATCGCTTTGCCATTCTTGACTCGACATCGTGAGAGAGACGGCGATGATGAAATACTAGGCTGTGAAGGCAGACAGGCCCTCCCGAGGTCAACTTGATCGAATGAACTGCTGCCGGTATGCTTGATTCGGTTGCCAAGCGTTCGACTCCGGGAAACAGGGGCAGACGGAAGTAGAAGCAAAAGAATCGTTGAAGAGCAGACCTCTTGTCGGGTTGATTGTGCAACGAGGAAAATACCACTAAGTGCCGTGAAAGAGTGATGAGAATGTTACAAGTTGAGAAGTCTGACTGAGTTCATTGAATCATTCGGCCAACAAGATCCCGCCTCCCGGTTTTATATAATACCTCAATGGATTGGAACCGCAAGTTGCCTAGGCCGTCGACTTCGGCATTGTTTAATGCATAATATCTTCAATTCAACGTAAGGTACAATACTTGGCAAGGCATCACCGGGTCCGCACGAACAGGAGAATAGAGGCAGCAGCAAGGGTGTCCTTGCAAAGGCATGTTCTGGAATAAACCCTTCCAGCTTACAGGGTCCGTACCACAAACGAGTTGGAAAGCCAACACTCAACCAAACTGCCCAAAACGGTTAAATTGACTCAAAAGACGGCATATAGCAGCCGAATCTTGTCGACTCGGCCCTGCTCTCACCAGAAATGGTGTCGTCAAGTCTAGGCTCCGCGTAGTTAGTGCAATATCAGTGTCATATGTGGATACTTCTTCGCGAGTCGCAGGATCCTTAGCGACCGACGACCAGATCGTCTGCAGGGGTCGTATAAAATACGACCCCGGTCACTTAGTCACGAATGTCCGTGGACCGCAGCCCATGGTCTGCAAGTCAGTTGGGCATCGTCCCGGCGCAGACTTTTTCTTTGCCTTTTCGAGAAAAGATTTCACATGCCGGGACCCAGGAACAAGCAATGGAGAGTCCCACCTCCAGCTGCAGCGACACGGGAGTGGTGGCTGTCAAGATTATTGCCAGGTTTGAGGTCTCGGAGTCGACGGCATGGCGACAAAGCAAAGTCATGTGGCTGTGATTGAGTAGATTCATGTACCTCGTCGACATATTGGCCCTGATCCTCCATTTTTTGGGACAATAGTGGCAGCTGATTCCCTTTAATTTAGCATCCTAGTTCCTGGGTCGATGCGTCTAAAACGCTGCAGGAATCGAAGTCTTAATTTCAGCGATTACGAGGCCTCACTATCTTATGGAGTCACTTCCCGAACAGTCTCACCATTGGTGCCAACCAGTTGCTTTATAAGATAGAAGATCCGTTGCTAACTTTTGTTTCCTCGGACAACCTTCTTCCTTTGGCAACCTCCTTAGAAAAGTCCGGTGTTTGTACATCATCCCGCTGCCATGTCCATGGCCGTCAACCCAAGTCACTGCGCAAGCGCGACGTTTGGAAGCCCCGTACTACTAGGCGCCAGTAATCTCGCCGTGCAAGCCAATCTAGTCGAAAACTACAGTTTCGACGTGCCAAAGGGATGGACCTACTCTCAGCCGGCCCTTAACGTCGAGAATGCCACCTTTTGCAACGTCACCGTCACCTATACGCACCCGGGACAGAACGACACCCTCAACGTCGAAGCTTGGCTGCCGGAAGTGCACCATTACAACGGTATTCTGCAGTCCGTTGGTGGAGGTGGCTGGAACCCTGGCCGCTTCATCCTCAGCTATGCCGCCATGATCAACGCCGTCGCCAACGGATATGCAACCGTCACCACTGACGCCGGGATCCCTACTACCTCGAACCCCATCGACTGGCTGCTCAAAAGTCCGGGAAGTCTAGACACCAACGCTCTCCAGAACTTTGGTCAGGTCTCCCTGAATGATGAGGTACGCTGCTTTCCTGGCCAACCACATCAATACAACACGTACCAGACTGCAATGCTAATCAAGATCCCTCGCAACAGGCTATTATAGCAAAACAGCTCATCAAAAGCTTTTACGGCAAGCCTCCTACGTATTCTTATCGGAACGCTTGCTCCCAGGGCGGCCGTCAGGGCCTCAAACTGGCGCAGCAATACCCCGAGGCCTACGATGGCATCATGGCGGCCGCTCCAGCCGCTAACTGGGCCGAGTTCTACCTCAATTCGATCTGGCCTAGCTACTACATGATAAAGACACAACAGTTCCCGTTGGGCTGCGAGCTCAACGCGCTCACTACCCTGGCCATCTCTGCCTGCGACGAGCTAGACGGTGTCAAGGACGGCCTCATCAGTGATCCTGAAGCCTGCAGGGCAAAATTCAACGCTACCGCACAGGTCGGCAAGTCTTTTAAGTGCGCGCAGACGAACTCGACGCTTGAAATCAGCCAAGCGGCCGCCAACGTGGCCAACGCCTCCTGGACCGGTCCCCGTTCCTCAACCGGAAGGTTCATCTATGATGGGTACGAGATGGGAAGCGACCTCTCCGTCATCGCGCCGACAGAGTGCACCGGCAAGGTCTGCACGAGCAACACCGCTGGAGCAAACATTGCCTTTGCCTGGCAGGCTTTCGTCGCCAAGGACCCAAATGCGACAGTGCCTACTCTCACAGACACAACGTTCGACACGATCCACCGCGCCACCAAATTGGTCTTTGCCTCCAACATGGAGACCGACGAGGCGGATCTGAGCGACTTCAGAAACGCGGGGGGCAAGATCATAACCTACCACGGACTCGTAAATATCCCCTCCATCGCTGGGTTCCTGAATGCTGCAGATAGTATTGAGCTAACAACCCAAAGGCCGATCAGAGCATCTCCCCAGGCGGTACTCTCCGATACTACAACACCGTTGCTGACGTCGTGGACGGCAACATTACCTCCTTTTACAAGTACTACCGCGTCCCCGGGCTCGAGCACTGCTGGGGTGGCAGAGGAGGACAGCCCGAGGCCATCTTCGCGCAGCTTCGGGCCTGGGTCGAGAACGGGACGAACCCAGGGTCGTCACCAGTGACCGTGACGCTGCCGGACGGATCGACGCAAGACCAGGTGCTGTGCCCGTATCCGCAGAAGGCGAGGTTTGATAACGCTTGTGCGAGCAGGAACGCGTCTTTTTGCTGGACTTGTTCCGAGTAAACTTGATACTACTTTGGTTTTCAGATTGGGGTTGGGAGAAGGAGATAGTCTCTTATATTCATTCGAGTTTCACTTCCTTGAAGATTCAATGGCATGGTCAAGCCACTACGTCACCATTCATAAAGTTCACTTGCAACGATTTTGGTCCATCCGTTTAGCTCACAGCATGAACTTTACAGCGTACTTGCTTCCATGAGGACTTACCTTATTGTACATGTAACACTTCAGACTTCTTCAGACAGATTCTTTGCTAAAATATCACGGAAGAAAGGTTTGATTACTCATAAATCTCACGTGAATATCCTGTTAATGTCACTTTGGTTTCCTACTCATACTATTGGGGCCTGAACTATCCAAATTATTGCAAAGTAGTAGTCACTGATATAGAATGGGATCGTCGAAGCAGCGGAAGATGACCCAGATATTGAGACCTGAGTCACTTGGTGGACGGACATATTTGCTTCGCATCTCTATTGAAGTCGAAGTCAGTTGAAGTGAATGAGAGGGATAAAGATGATTTAGTCACTGCTTGTTGGTGATTGGCTAGTGCCACCCCACCTCGTAGATCTCCGTCCTTGGTTAATTTTTGTCATTTTTCTTTCGTCTCGTACTTCTATCCCACTTTCACGACACCAAAATCTCCTGATCTGAGGTCACTATTGACTACTCAGTACCCTACCTTACCTAATACATTCGATTCATCTTCTAGGCGGAGAAAAATTCGATTCTGCTTTAGCATTCGTTATCTAGCTGCCTTACCAATGCTGGGTGCTGGCCCTTCACAGGCAGCTCATGCCGATGCCGGCTGCACCTGCACAACATGCCACATCGTGAAGCGGCGGCCGCATAAAAAGTCGCGCGCTGGCTGTGAGATGTGCAAGAAGCGGAGGATAAAGGCAAGATTTCAACATTACATTGAATGGCTGCGCAGCTTACTGACTAGTACAGTGTGACGAAGTCAAGCCCAAGTGCGGGCAGTGCTCAAAAGCCCTGCACAACTGCAGCTTCCAGCCATCAACACCAAGCTCAGACCTGAACCCCCCAGCTATTACACGTACCTCTCATGATGCCCTCAGCCGTATATATCCTTACCAGAACTCAAAGACCAACGAGTTTCGAAATGATCCGCTCAAAGATGGTCACTATGTTCGACATGATCGGCGCCTCTGTGCCACGGCAGCTTCTTCATCATCCGGCATCCCGAGCCACACTCCCTCACCATGCAGCAACACATCAGCCGCCACAGACTCCCTACCTCCAAGAGCCATTTCAAATCCCCTCAGACCATGGATTTGGAACGTAGATGATATTGCCCTAATGCACCATTTCCTCACCTGCCCGGCTCTGGATCACGGCGACGCAACCCTCTGGCGTCAAAAGGTGCCCCTCCTCGCCTTCCAAAACCATTCTGTGCTTCATCTCCTCCTCGCTATTTCTGCATTCCATCTAGCTACCATTAAGCTAGACGAGCGCATGAGGTATCAAGGGCTGGCAGACCAACACTACGAGACCGGTCTGCGCCAGACCATGGAACTCATGCCCCGCCTCGGCCGCGACACTGCTGGCGTCCTCTACATCGCCACCACCCTCGTCTGCTCCTGTAGCTTCGCCCGCGGTCCCGCACCGGGAAATCTGCTCATTGTCTCAGACGGCGTTGAAGTGGTCTGGTTCGAGCTGCTCAGGGGGGTCAGGCTCGTCATCGAGACAGTCGGCTTTGAGGCCATCTTCTCAGGCATCCTCGCTCCCATGCCTACAGGAGAGAAGCCCCCACTAGAGAAGAACCCGTCAGGCCAGGCGTCAGAATTGCGTTCAAGCCGATCACCGTCGAGACCCGTGATGTGGGAGGCTGCTCTCGGGCGCATCGCACAGCTCATTGCCGACCCTGCAGATTCGGACGAGGCAGCTTATAGAAAGATGATGGAGTACCTATCGCTCGCCTTCCGAGAAACCTTTGGAACATCCGCTGAGCCCATCACCGCTTCTGAGGGCAAGATGGAGGTGATTATGGCTTGCATCTACCGCACCGACGATGACTTTGTTTGGTGTCTGAAGAAGAAAAGGACTGTCGCGCTACTTGTGCTGGGTCACTTTGCCGTGCTTGTCAAGACGCTTGAATGGCTGTGGTACATGCGCGGCTGGGCTGATCACATTTTACGAGGCGTGGCGTCGAATCTAGATGCTGCGTACTTAGATTTTCTGCAGTGGCCAAGGGAAGAGATTGAAAGACTTGACTCCATTGCAGCCAATAAGAATAGTCATTCTTGACATTCACTATCAGTTCTTCTACTCGTGTACACCAGATTGTGTCAATAGTTCGGTTGGATTTGTCCGGTTGGATTTGAGAGGAAGTCACTACAAGAAGGGGCAGTTATGACTCTACTATACCCTATCTATAGTGAGCACACGAGACAATACCATGTTATTTGACCGGTTAGCCGTCGAAGAGTCCTCCAAAAATGATGCGCTGTACACTACGATCATTTCATTCTCTACGGTGTAGTGACAGATACGACATTTGCCATGTCAAGAATCCTTCTCGAGAGTCGCCGAAGGTTTTGGGAAGTGCTAAGTATCTGGGTCACGTTGAGAATCTTGCTTGATAAGTAGCCGACAACATCTAATATACCTATCCGTTATAGCAAGCTGTCATCTATGTATCTGAAATATCAGCTGCATTCACTCTAGATAAGGTAGGTAGAAAAGAGTCTGAGCCATCGCCAGTGCCAATACGGCCGACCCGGCAATGTGGGGCCGGGCGCCCACCCCGATGTTCAGTCTGCCGGTGCGTTCAGGTCCGGATCCAGAAGTCATCATCTTTGATCACTTGCGCCTTTTATCCCAGCTTGATCTAGGAGATACGGCCCGTATCATCCGCTGTTGACTGTGATTGATCCGGGTTAAGCTACCCATGCTGACAGGATCATCACCCCGCAGGTAGACAACGCGTCCTCTGTATTTCTAATCGACAACGCCGTAAGCCGGGTCATCAACTGGCCGCAGGTCTTTGATCACGCATCTTAGTTCTTGAGGTCACCAGATGCGAGTTTCAATCAGTCATTCATGCTGTATATAGCGAGCCGACGTCTGTATCATTGTGTCTCATTTGCTTCCACGGAATCTACCGACTTCAGTACCATTTCCAGCTAGACCAACTCTGATCCTCTATCATCTTCCATACACTTGAGATCAAGTAGCAGCAACGGTAATGGCACCAGAGTTTGCTCCAACCCGCGCAGTCCTGCACATCGAGGACTGCGACATTTACTACTGGTCCCAAGGCCAAGGTCCGCTCATCGTCTTCATCCCGGGAGGCAATGGCCATGGACGGCAATACGACACAATCATCGCCTCTCTGTCCGATAGATATACCTGCGCCACGTTTGACCGTCGCCAGATGTCCGCAAGTCAAGCCAAGGTGAACAAGAGGCTGAACCCACCACAACAAGCCCGTGATATCCGCGCCATCATCGAGATCCTCGGCTTCGACAAAGCCACTCTTTTCGGAAGTAGTATGGGTGGTATCCTCGCATTCCAGTTCGCACTCGACTTTCCAGACATGGTCGAGCACGTTATCTCCCACGAGGCCCCGACCTTCATGTTGCTTCCCAATGCCACCGAGGTCTTTGAGTTCTTGTATAATTGTCTCGAGATATATGAGGCTTCGGGTGTCGATGCTGCGCAGGAGGAGTTCAGCTCTAAGCTGATTGGCTATTTCGATGAAGGCGTTCCTCGTACGGGGCCATCGGATCCCATGAACCCGCCGAATCACTGGGCCAACGAGTTTGCCGTCTTGCTGGGCTATCTGCCGAGTTTGTATCGTATCAGGGAGAACGGAACGAGCATCGGGTTGATGAGGGGCATTCGGAGCAGAGAGGCGTGGTATGCCCAGGCGGTCGACGAGCAGGCCAAGATCCTGGGGTGTCCGAAGCTTGACGTCGCGGGTGCTCACGAGGGCTTCAGAGTCGAATGCGAGGCGTTTCTCCCGTACTTTGTCGAGTTGATGGGCATTCTAGACAAGGCCAAGGGCAAGAGCTCTTGATGATAAGATTAGTGGATAGCTAAAAGACGCCAGAGTGACCCTGCATCATGCCCAGGTATCTTTCTGTCCATATCGACCCATACTTTGTTGTGTTCGACATTGGCGGAGGGAGTGTTGCTTTGGGCAAGGATTCTGGTCAGTTAAATTTGAGTTTCCGCAGGCCCCTTTTCTCCCTCCAGTAATTCGTGCCTTCGAGCATTTCGGTGCAGCCGTCGAGCAACCAGCCCCATTTCCGGAGAAACGGTTCCGTGGCCTCCCAGCCCCGCGGATCCCACGGCTCTCCCCAAACAATCAGCGCCGCGTCTTCGACTCCCGCCCCCGCGCCCACATCGACCACGTCCCGGCACATTTCGTCTTCGTCAATGTAGTCCTCGCCGTGCTCGGCCACGATCCGTAGAAAGTTGTCTCGCATGCGGGGATGGGGGAAGAAGTCGATCCAGGGGTGATGTTCGACGGACAACTGCAGCGCCGTGGGCAGCATGTTGGACGGACACGATGCCGATGTCGTGGCGGGACCCAGATCAGGACCGGCTTTGTTAAAGGGCGAGATAGCGTCGTAGGTCAGCCACTCCTTGTTGAAGCTGAGGGCTTTGGCGTTGCGAACAAAGGCGTGGAAGACATTGACGCGGACGAGGGTCGTGAGGTAGTCTGTACAGGGCCGGCCACGCATATAATCCTCGTAGGCACCCTCGGCGAACTTTTCTAGCATGGCCGGCATACCTGTCTTGCCTAGGAGGCAGACATCTGGAACGGCGGCCTTTCCAATCTTCCCTGCGATGATGGCCGCCAGGGCTGTCTGTGTATTTTCGTTAGTTGGCGAGGCGGACTCTTTCTTCACCAAGGCTGTCGATGGGTCGGAGTCCACTTCGGTTGACGGACTTCTATCTGATGGAGAATGTTTGCCGAGTTTCTTCTGTGCTCTCCGCCCTTGTAATACGCGTGTAACCGTTAGCTGAATGATACTACTAGCCTTACCCGTGCGGGTAGTAGATGTCAGCAGATCGGTACCGAGGTGGACTCACTTCGCGCTCTCTGGTTCAGCCGGTTCTGTAATTTACGCCTCTCCGCCGTACTCGTAACTCCGGTCCAGTCCTCTGAAGGATCCCGTAGTTCAGCCAAACGAGGATTCGCAATCACTGGGATGACTGTCCCGGCAGGAATCGCCGGGCCGGGACTGAAACACATCTCCATTGTTGCCGTTGCTTCTATATGCGGAAAGATATCCTCGAAAGACATTGGTCAAAAAGGCGTTGGGCAAGGGAGGGAGAGCCGAACCAACAAGGTCAGGCGCGTCAGCAGTCAGCAGCTTCGAGATCTGGTCAATCTTTGACAAACGGATGACAACAATGCTCGAAGGAGATGAGACTGGTCCTCCAGAGGACTATATGCAGCCTGCTGACAGCCTTCCGCCGTCTAAGTGCCAGGGATGGTGCCACAAGGCCAGAACCTAAATGGTCGAATCGGCGTCGATGCCTTTTTTCGATGGTGGGGACTCCTACTGACTCAGGCCTAGTTTTGTGCGGATAGCCTCAGCAAAGTCGAGGTTGCCTACGACTTATCTCTTGTATTTTCGAACACTTGAGAACCTTTTGCGGAAACTTGAGGGAGAGCAAAATTGAGGATCAGTGTTGTCCTTATGTTGCTTCTTTTTGTGAATTGCTATCTTCGAGATGGATTGCTAATCCAAGCTCTATCTGGCCGTTGTCATCGGCGAGGCGAAGCACTCTTCCAGACGGGAGTGTATTCGGACGGATTTAAAGCCCCTGTTTGATCTCTAACCAGATTTTAGCGTGTCAGCAGTCTGCATTAGCGTCCGCAAACTGACGTTTGTCTCTTCATACTGACGAATCAAGACGCGGAGAGTGTCTGGGCTATCCCTGCTTAGAGTAATTCGCTCTCGCTCTCCTTTCGAGCTACAGCCTGAGGCTGGTTCGTCACGTCGGTGCACTCACAACATTCAACTGTTAGAGTTTCCCAATCGCGAATAAATGCCTTGGCTAATCATCCCATATCTCTAGTCTGCACGTCCTCCACCCCGTAGGAATCCATATGTAGAACTCTCTATCTCACAACTCTCTACTATCCCTAAGCGGATGCTCGCTTCCACTTCGGAGTCAACCACGATCACCACGAGTCAGGGGCGTAGTCGTATTGTTCATCTACCATACGGATAGATAAAACTTGATGGCCCTCGTCCTTCAGGCCCTATCTTCTATCTGGCTTGTCCGATCGAGAATCGATGCGGTAGCAAAATACCACCGAGCCGGACTAAGCCGATATCGAGACGAACTCAGTCAGAGTGCCCGAGCCTGCGAATCGATCATCGTACATGCCACGACTCCAACGACTCACCGGCTTAAGTGATCACGATTATCCTAAAGCCGACACTCCCCGATGCCCTTGGACGCCCCTGCGCCCGTGGTTTGACCGCGGTACTTACCGGCAAAATGAGTCAGCAGAAGGGTGGAGTTGATACTTTTAATAGCTAAAGGCACACTTTTGTCCCGCTCCTGAGAGTTACAAGAGGCTCTTGGCCAATATGCTTGTCGAATACTGCGGTCTGTTGCCAACGCGTGTACGGCTCCCCGATACTCCGATGCTACTCGTATCAACAACGTCTTGAAGTCGACGAGCTGCGTTCACGACAGACCTCTTTGACTCCGAGACACAAACACCAAAAGCCTTCGTTGTGCTGGATAGTATGGATAAGTGTATTTGGATCCGAGTCTATGGGACAAAGCCGGATGAAAGAAATGGTGCCGGCGATGGAAGAAGAGAAGTTATATACAGGGAAAAGAAGAGATACCCTCCACTCAGTATACTCTTGGAGACATTCCCGGAGCGATCAGGGTCGTGTGCAACTTCGAGTCTTCCTTCAGCCCTCTTAGACAGCGTAGGTGCTGCCGATGGGACCGAAGCGGATGTTGGACCAGACAACCTGCGAATTGGGGAACTGCTCGATAACTTCGGCGGGAACACCAGAAGTCGGGGCGCAAGGTCCACGTTCGGTGCCGGGCTCTCCAGCCCTCTCGGGCGGGTAGGTGGAGTCGAGCCAGAGCATGTTGGCGTAGTGCTGCATCGGAACATTAGCTTGGCATAGTCAAAAGCTGACGGACACACTAGTGAGAACACTTACGTCGCTCCAGATGGACATCACAAGAGTCATGGGAATGTTGAGCGCGGCGTTGAGCTGGGGGTATCCGCCGACCTCGTTGAAGCGGTCTCGCTCGTTGAAGACAGCGAACTGGCGCTCGCAGTACTCGGGCGTGATCTCCGAGGTCTCGGGCACACCTGCCCACTTGGCGCCGGGGACTTCGATGGTTCTTCCGTCCTGAATGAAGACTTGATACATGCGGTCGGGAGAGAAGCGGGTGATGACGGTGAACTTCTTGGTGGTGTCAATGGTCTTTCCGGGGCCGTAGAAGTCAGGGTTGCCCATGCGGTACGGGTTGTAGTCGCAACCGTTGGCATCGCAGCCGCCGCCGTAGCGATCCTCGGAGTATGTGCCACCGCAGTTGGAACCCTCGCAGACGTGGTAGTTGTTGTTCTCGCAAGGGTGAGGAGTCAGAGCGTAAGCGTAGGCGTTGGATTCCCTGGGCATTGGTCAGGATTTGAGCACCTCTCGAGTGAGAATTGGTTCGAATGTCTTACCAAACATCAATCTCGGCGCAGCAGGCGCCCATGTTGCCGACACCGGCACTGTCATCGGTCTCAGAAGGCTCCCAGCCTACGACATTGCCCTATTCGTCGTCACTGTTAGTCGGAGCTTTTTCCCATATTGTCAAGCACTGAAGGTTGTGGCTTACCTTGCCGCCAATGAACTTAAGATCGCGAGCACATTGCGCGTCGCAGTAGCCAGTACCGTACTTGGCTCCCGCCTTGTTGTTAGGCTCCGAAGACAAACCGCCGTCCTCCTTCATAGCAACGAAGTACAGAGCACTGTTCATGCCACACTCGACACTGGACAGGTCGACGTCGAAAGCGAATTCGTTGTTCAGGAGCTGGAAGGTTTGGTACTTGCTGTCCCCGTTCATGAGGTACATACGAGAGCCAATATTCTTGCCATATTGGTGCTCCTGGACGAACTTTAGAGTCATGGCATTGCCACTGGTCGACACGCCGTAGGTACCGCCGTACTCGGCTCCTTCGACAGCGCAAGTCTGGGCGCAGCTGTCTCCGGTCGTGCACAACCCAGTCCACGAGTTTCCATCGTAACAGTTCTGGTATCCGCTAGATCAGTGTGTCAGCCACTGCAGTTGTTCATCGTGTGAAGAAAAGACAACAATCAGCATCGTCGCTTACCCAACGCCATGAACCCAGCGCCAGTTGGCGTCGATGACGACCTCAGCGTTGACGTTCGAGCATGATGAAGAAGTACACCTCTGCCAGCTCAGCTTGGGATGAGTCTCAGGCTGTTCGGTGCCGACTTGCTGAGCCACGGCCATGGCTAGCATGGAAAGTGCTGAGAGAGTGTACTTCATCGTAAAGGAAACCGCAGAGACTGAAGAATCGTCTTGAAAGTTGGCAAGTGAATGCTGAGCGTAAGTCGTGAGGAGCCTACTTTACATTTCAGTTGAACGCGGATCGCCGCTCCATATTTATGCTCCCATCTTCGTTCAGAAGTATTTGGCCTCTTGACATTGCGGAATGAGGCTCCCCGAGAAGATTCTCTCTAGCGTCCCGGACTCCGGGAACATTGCGTACAGTTCCGTGATCGAGTCTCTGGCATTTCTCGAAAGTCGACGAAAGGCGTCAAATTGTTACATCGCCAATGCCCACAAGGCCGAAGTCTCGTCTCGAACGCGTGCCATGTGACCTTGGATCGCATTCTACCTTGTCGTCCAAGTCTTGGAACGAGTTGACCGGGACGAAGTTCCCGTCGGCAGCTAAGCCCCACTTCCAGAGTTGGCAAAAGTTGAATGTTTGATACAGGGAAAGAAAACCTTGGATTGCGGATCTGAGGGCTGTCGCGCCGAAGCAATTGCCTTATCGAAAGACTGCCAAGGTCTTGTAAACGGAGAGGAGGTCTGCTCCATTGGTTTGTTGGTGAGAGTCAACGGTATGTGGTAGCCAGGTGATGGAGAGCCAAGTCAAGGTTCCAAGAGCCAAGATCTCGGCGACGGTAAGACTGAGCAAATAGCTCCGGGATGTACGGGATTGGATGAATGACGGTCGTCAGGAACGGCCGCGATGCCTTGCCGATCGTGCCTGTCTTCGGCTCTCGCTAGACCACCGTCCGAAAACGTCCGGCAGGGCTCCCTTGCCCGTGTCGGAGCTTGATCAACGTCCAAGCAGGCTTGCGCGGATAGCAAAGCTCGGCAAAGGTATGTTCCTGAACCCTCCAATATAGTACCAGGTGTCCATCGGCGCTGAGCAGCTCAATGGCCTACCGAGCCACGACGACAAGTGTATGCGGATGTTTCGAGGCTTGAACCACCTTTCAAGTACTTCAGTCAAGGCAGTCCACCTTCTGCTACGCAGCTAGAGTCAGCAAATGTGACAGGAGTGGATACGCGACGCAGATATAGCGTGCCATCACTCACATCGTAAGCTTTCTTGGCGAATACCAGCGAAGTCTGGTTGTGAAATGCGCAGACAGAACCAGCGGGAATTTCAGGAGACTGGCGCTGACGAGTGTCATGCGAACCGGACGTCGAGACGGGAAGTCTAAGTCAGCATCGTCGAAAGATGGGTGGCTACCTATCAGTTGCTTGACACCTCATGGACGGCAGACGTTGCGTTGTCCGAAATATTGCTCTTGGCTTGAAGTCTATGCCGAACGGGCGTCTGGGGGATCTGCGGGGTGAGTCTCGGCGTGAGTCTCGGCGTGCAGCGATCGCAGGGGAGCCGGGGCTAAATAGTTGTGACCCCTTGGTTCCGTAGCGGGGTAGACGGGCAAACATCGCGGTTCGCGGAGGTTGTAGCTCCGTTCGCGATGCCATTTTTCCATATTAAGGGGTTCGTCATGTGTGGTTTTGCCGGTGATAATGTGTCTTCCTCTTTGAATCTGCGATGCAACGCCATTTCTCTCATGCTGTGCAAACTCCGCCTGATTACTAACCCAGTGGAGTGGGAAGAGATCTCATTAAAAGCCAACCTGCGTGTTGGCTACGTTCATACATGTAGGTTGAAGTAGTTTCATATAGCCCAGCTGAGATTGACCTTCAAGGTAGTCGAAAGGCGGGCCGGAACCAGATCACTGATTGCAAACCGCTCTCCAAATCTTTCTCTATGACGAAGCAATCTGAATAGAGCTCAAATGATGCACGTTAGCAAAGTGCTCAACGTTGAGTCTATTGTCACCGGGCCTTCCTGACTCCCTGGCCTAGCCTTCGGCGAATTGAGAATCTCAGATAACACACAACTAAAGTCTGCATCCTAGCTTCTCATGACGCTCGCTTAGCTACCTCATGGTTGGAAGGGGAGAGCGGACTTATAGCATTGGTGGCCTCATAAAATCTGCCTGCTCGTGGTATTGCCTGGAGCTGCTCTTTTCGTCGTATGACAACCGTCAACCTGACAGCTTTGAACGCGGAGCGACTCGTCTGGGAGCTGACGGTGCAGTCCAAGCATCTATAGTATCCAATGTGAATGTATGGTATCTGTGTTGGATGAAGAGATTCACCCGGCTTGGCAAGCAGGGCGTTTGCAGGACCTCAGACGAATGAACGTTGGACTCAGCTTAGGCTAAGAAGTTCGGAAGGACAGGAGCTCAAGAGCAGATGAGCATAACTCAGCTGTTGCAAGTCCACCAAGGCGTAGACTCGTTGCATACGAAGAAACATGTACCATAGCTGACCCAACTCCTCCGAAGAGACAGGATGACTTCAACCCATACTCCAAAGTCCGTCAACCACACAGACTACGCCCACCATTTGATAAGGTAGGATCTTGACGGGATCAGAATCTGTGATGAGCCACCTCACTATTATTGAAGAGCTCGCTATGTCTTCAAACGCTTTGATCGGCACAGCGCAATCATCTCTGCCTGAGATTTGGATAAGCCTGAAAGGTTTCGTCGACCCCCAAGCCCGGGTCGAAGGCCTGAGGGTAAAACCTTGTTTAATTCTGGTGAATTTGTGAAGAATGCAATGTGCACGAGAATTCGCTATACCAAATGAACCATAGAGTAATTCGGGGCATGAGTTACATGTGGGCAACAAGTTGTGTAATGGGTGTGGACGCGACAGACGAATGCTTTCATCAATTTGAGGTTGTTGTTCATGATGACTCAGGTAAACATGCAAGGGCAGACGTACAGCCTGCGTCGGGGAACTATTGATCAACAGGAGCTGCAGTGTCGAGGACCGCATTCGCATTCCCTTGGCGTCGATTCAAGTACGCTACGTGCTGTTTGAGAAAGCTGCAGTGCTGCACGGTACTTGCGAGTTGGTGATCAGACGACGTTAGTTGTGAACAGTGGACAGCGTCATGAACCTAAAGCATACAGAGGTTATGCCACTTGCCAACCATGAAGTCATCGTCACTCCTAAAACGTCTCCAACGAGCTTGCAGATGCCACGGCCTGCCGAGACTCGCCTCTAACGGGGCTCCCGTCGGGCTGGGCTGCGTCTTCTCAAACTGACTGTAAACATATCAGCCTCCGGAAGCTCGCCGGCGCACGTGCGCTTTCGGCCGTGCCGTAGCCGCAGTCAAGCAAGTCGATCGGTGAAGTCCCAAGGGCTCGGACTGGCACGTTCCTCCCGACTAGCTGCCAAGCTGCAGAAACAGAGCCCACAGGTTGCGTGAAGATTTCAAAAGTTCATGTACGCCTCACGGGTGGGCATCTCGTGACGGTGGCCGCGGGCAGTCGGTCCCGAGGTGTGGGAGGTCTTGGTGGCATTCAATAGACAGCGACACGCCTCGTTTATGCCCAGTTTGAGGATTGAGCCGATCCAAGCTTCTCGAATCTCTCGAAGACGCTGAGTTCTCTGAGATCAACGCAATAATGAACGAATCAACCGAGATCAAGGATGACGTGAAGGATATCGTCGAGGGCGGACCGTCGAGAGGCAACTCGGGCGAGGGTCGCGGGGAAGTACTTCAACAGTCGCGCGCCGAGTCGGAGAAGAGTAAGTCAACGCCATCGACAGACCAAGGACGATCAGGCGAGCAGGAGAAACAAGAAAAGGTCACTCAGTCGGTTGAAGATGACTTCCCCGAAGGCGGCACGCGAGCATGGTCAGTGGCGGCCGGCACAGCAGCCATCCTGTTCTGCTCTCTGGGGTACACCAACTCGTTTGGCGTCTTTCAAGCATACTACACGCGCCATCAGCTTTCGGACCATACGCCAGACGACATATCGTGGATCGGATCGATACAGGCATTCTTGGTGTTTGCGTCTGGTGCTATAGGAGGGCCAATATTTGACCGGTATGGCGCATGGGTGAGTGAAGCAGAAGGCACAGGCGGGCTGGTCTCGCCATCGAGAAGATGCTAACCTTGACTAGGTCATTCGTCCCGCCGCGATAGTATACATCTTCTCGGTGATGATGACGAGCTTATGCAACGAGTATTGGCAGTTCATGCTCGCTCAAGGTGTGCTCAGCGGCATATCGAACGGATTGATCATGTTCCCAGCAATGGCCGCCACGCCTCAATACTTCAAGAGGAGGAGAGGAGCAGCCATGGGTCTTGCCATTGCCGGCTCCTCGTTGGGCGCAGTCGTTTTCCCGATCGTTCTTTCAGAGCTTCTGGACACGCTAGGATTCGGCTGGGCTGTTCGCATTTGCGGCTTCATCATGATGCCGTTCCTCTTATACTCGTCCGTCGCCGTCAGGGCCCGTCTTCCCACTCGAAGGAGTCAGTTCTTCATCTGGAAAGCTTTTCGACAGCCACTGTTTCTGTGTCTCACTGGTGGCGTGTGCCTCATGTTTGTGGGCATGTTCATCCCCTTCTTTTACCTGCCGACATTCGGTATCGATCACGGCTTGAGCCCGTCACTAGCGTCTTATTTGGTGGCCGTCATTAACGGAGCCTCGATCCCCGGCCGCATCATTCCAGGCGTCCTGGGCGACAAGTTTGGTCGCATCAATATCTTGTTCACTGCAGGATTGTTGACCGCCATCTCGATTCTCTGCTGGCCCAAGGCCGTGACTGAGGCCGGAATCATTGGCTTTGCCGCAGCGTATGGTCTCACTTCTGGCGCCATCATCTCAGGAGGGTCTGTGGTCTTCACCCTCTGCCCGAAGACGCCGAAGGATATCGGCACCTACATGGGAATGGGCATCGCATTCGCATCGATTGCTGTGTTGATTGGGCCACCGGTCAGCGGCGCGTTGCTCAATCAGTACCACGGTTACGACCAGATTTCCGTGTTTGGCGGCATTATTTGCATGGTCGGGGCGGTTCTGACGCTTTGCGCAAAGCTGTTCACTACTGAGGGTCTTTTAGGATTCGTCTGAGAAGAAGCTTGCATGAAAGCTAGCCAGCCTTGGTATTCGAAAGCTGAGATACGGCATAACGGCATTGAGAGAGAATTGCTGCCATGGTGGCCTACGTCATGGATAGTTGGATAAGCTGGATCATTTTGACCGAGTCTGATGAATGAATACCCTCACCGAAACCTTACTAAGAACTAGTAATAAAGATTCAACATTCAACGCTTTTGCCGATTCGGCAGCGAGCCGGCCATTGATAAGTCGCAATTGCCCCACGCGGACCCCTCATCTAAATAACGGCAGTCCGTCCTAAACGATGCTCATTTCCCGTTGCTGCACGGCTTGGCCTTGAGAGAATCCAAGGATCATCACGTCCATCAATGTTGCATTTAAACATTGAACAAGCAAACAAAGCCACCACCGATACAGGGGCACCGAGCACAATGATTGGCGCACATTTCTGAAGCGGAGAAGAAAGAACTCGGCTTCCTCCTTGGGCCCAGACTGGAACCTTCTCCCCGCCCCGGCAACTCTCAATCCTTCACCGTTCGCGGTGTGTTTGCGGAGACGCGGAGCACACGGCTAGAGGATTGGATGACGTCTTCAAGGGTCTTGCGCCATGTCTACCGCCTTGGCAAAGGATATCTCCAAGATACCACCCGTATCTCCGTCCGGATGACCATCCAAGAAAATAGGTTCCGATCTGGCTTATTTGTAATCATTAGACGCGTGGAACGGGGAGAAGCTTAAATCTTAAAAAGATGTTGGGCTATCCCGCCCCGTCCCATGATTCCCTCCATCCGGTCTCCGTCCGCCGTGCTCTGTGATTGACTTACCTCCAGTCCAAAACCTTCGAGATGCTCAGCAAGACTATTGTCGCAGCCCTTCTGGGCTTCGTGTCTCTGACCAATGCTGTAAAGAAGTGCCCCGTTGCCGACGTTTCCGCCATTGCCCACACTGGCACCCCAATTGGCGAGGAGGTCAAGTACAACGGGCGTGAGTCTTTTCAATCTCACGCGACGTCTATCTGGCGCACAAGCTGACGCGACTTGTATGCAGTGACCCAATATGTCACCAAGCCAAGCACGCGTGGTAACAGGACTGTTGGAGTCCTTTACCTAACCGACGTTTTCGGAATCCAGCTCGCGCAAAACAAGCTGTGAGTACCTAACACCAGCCATAGACCATGGGCCACCACATGGCACAGTCGTGCCCATACCGATGCTAACGCAAACGGCCAGCCTGTCTGACAGCTTTGCTCGCGCCGGTTACATCTCCGTCGCGCCGGACCTGTTCAACGGCAGCCCCGCCCCGAACGACATCAACATCCCCGGCTTCAACACGACGGCATTCCTTGCGCAGCACGGACCCAACGTCACCGACCCGATCATCGCCAATTCCATCAAGTACCTGCGCGAGGAACTCGGCGTGAGCAAGGTCGCCGTCACGGGATACTGCTTCGGAGGCCGCTACTCTTTCCGCGTCCTCGCCGAGGGCAAAGGCGCTGATGTCGGCTTCGCCGCGCACCCGAGTCTTCTTACCGATGAGGAGATTACGGCCATCACTGGTCCCGCGAGTGTCGCTGCCGCCGGTACGTTATAATCCCGGCCCCCCTCCTCCCGGGGAGGCACCTGCAGAAGGGTACCTGGACTGTTCCTTGTTACTGACAACGCCGCTGTAGAAACTGATAACCTCATGTCACCCGCTCGTCGTGCCGAGGTCGAGGCCCTCCTCAGCGAGACTGGCCAGCCCTTCTCCCTCGCTGTGTATGGTGGTACCTCGCATGGATTCGGCGTTCGCGCCAATATTTCGGACCCTAGACAGAAGTTCGGCAAGGAGGAGGCCTTCTTCCAGGCTGTTCGCTTCTTTGACACCTGGGCTTGATCGAGCCTACAATTCTTGTACATATTTGAAAAAGTTTGCTGTCCAATCATGATCTCGACTGTACTGATTGCTTTCAACAATTGAAGTCCAATAGTCATCTGCGCTTCGAAGGCTTTGTTAAGTTGCCTAGATGGTGAGGTGTTTATCCGTTTTCGTCTATTCGTCTGGAATGCTCGCGATTCGTACTATGAGGTTGATCGTTCGTCTCCTCGTCTGTACCTATACCGGGAGGTAAAATCGATATGTTAGCGGTGCTAATGAGGTTACGAGAGAGAGAGAGCTGAATCGGATGCGCTCCGAGAAATGCCGAGAGCCTTGCCAGGAAATGTCATTGAATGTGAGAGCAAACAGCTCATCAGCACCATGGCCGCGCTCGCTGTAAGCAGCAGGCCTCGTACAATTCTTCTGCCCAAGGAGATGTATAGATGAGCACGAAAATTCCGAGAACAACTTGGTAAGTTTGCCATCGTGAGGATTCATCGGCATGACCGCAGAATCGGAGAAACTAAGAATTGTTAATTTGGCCAGTCAGGGGAGATGCACCTCGCTTTCCATAGCTGTAGTTCCACGCGCTGGACGCGTCTAGACCTCATCCTCATCCGACAATTGCCGTCCGTGGCGTCAACTAGCATCGTTAAGCTTTTTGTCCCTTCAGACGTCATGGTCATCATGTGGCTTCTTTTCCAGCGAAAAGCCAGGATCCAATGTCATCGGGGACCCCTAGCTGCAGCCTGCCGACAAATTCTCCGGGGACAACTGGCTACAACGGTAGTAACGAGCCTTAGCAGCGCGTCAAGAAGTCTTAAAAATTGACGGCAGAGTCATAATCAGCCTTACCATTCCCACTATCCGCTAGGTATTATCCCTAGAAAAGCACAGCTAGGTCGGATCACTTAAGCTTCCAGGACGATCGCACATTCGCAACACCCCCACTAGTCGTAGCACCAGACCAGGCGCACCCACCTACCTCGGTTTCGGTTTCGGGGTTTTAGGTACAACCCGTCTGTTCCTGTTTTGATCGTTTCAGATCGCTCACACTCTGACTCTACAGCTCATTTGTATTCCTAGTAGCTTCTGTACGAAGTAGTTGAATATGCCTTACCTTCAATGCTAATGACCAATATCCTAAGTAGGTAGGTCGAACGAGTTGCAGTCGCTAAGACATCTCCGGGCCATTGAAGCCCGCATTGCGCTCTGCTGCCGCTCGGCCGAAACCTTTAGGTTTTTGGTGATCGGCTAGTTAGACTTTCGAGCCTAAAAGATGTAGACGAACGGGTAAACGGGTGGACATTGAACAACGGAAAAGATGTCACTTGACGGCGGAATCTGGCGACACCGCCGAGCCGTAGGATAGCACTGGATCATCGTATACGGCTCGTACGACCCGCGGTAGCCCTGACTGTCTGGACTCTGCTCTCAAGTCTGATGAGGTAGTGTGATCTCTGACGAGGCAATACAATGCATGAGCGGAATATGGTAGTCTAAATGTTTTGTTCTTTGATTTGTTTAGATGACAACTAAAGCTGTATACTCCTATCGCTTATGAATGCCAAAGGCCATTTGACCAACTCCTTCCACTCTGGATCCAAGTCTGATACTATCGCCCGCGCCGAGTTGATGCCCCATCCCTGCATGAACCACGTGGTAGCTTCCGTTGAGCGAACGACGACTGAGTAGTAAGCCAGTAGAGTCAGAGCCGCAGGGTCGCGGTTTCGAAGCAGCTGCAGATACTCCTCCGTGAGGTTAATGGGCCATGTCAAGGCCACCCGCAGCTCTGGAAAAGCCGTTGTCTCGACGGCGTGCATGATCCACCCGAGAAACACGTCAATCTCTTTGCTGACGATGGCTTTGGTCGGTTCGTCGGCGCTGGATGTCTTTAAGCTTACTTGAAGGTTCTCGAGGTGCTGTGTGACCGCCTCCAGCAACGGTGTAGACGCGGGAGTGACCACCTCTGTAAAGAAGTTCCTGAATGGCCCAGTCTGGATAGAGGGTTGGAATGATGATAGGATGTGACTCATTCCTCTCACGAGTAAGAACACGTCGAGGACGTCGTCGACTGTTGGTGCCTCTTGTGAATGGGGCGCTCCCCTTTGATACGGGAAAGTGGAGTATGCGTTGAGCAGCAGTAATGATGACGCCGCGAACAGAGCGTGGCAGTTTTCTGTCGTGATGTTCATGAGTGACTCTCTCATGCCCGCTATCGCATCGCTTTGATGTTGTGAGGCATGCAAGGCATAAGACTCGCGCTGCTCCGGGTGCAGATACCCCAGATGTAAAGCACCAATGGCGAGGATCTCGTGCATCAGGAACATGTACGTCAGACCAAGCTTTGGTACCTCGAACTGCCAGATGCTGCTCACGTCTGATGACCTGGGCATCGTGAGACTAGTGGCCGTGGAGTAGTGGTGCATCAGCTCGAGATCTGTGATCCACTTGCTCAAATGAACCGGTTCCACGGGCTCGGTTGAGAACTTGACAAAGTATGGAAAGGGGTCAGGGCTCGAGGCGGCGATAGACGACCTCCTATTTCCGATGGATGAGCCCCGGTCGCTGACGAAGTCTGCTGGTAGGTTGAGGGTGGCCTCGAGCAGACTAGGCGGCGTTAATGAGTGGTCTATCGGACTGATTGAGGGCGTTTGCGTCTTGCGGCTGCCGCTGGATCCCTTTCGCGATGAGCTCCTTCGCTGGAAACTCGGCACTCTTGAAAGTCCCGCTGCGTTAGAATTCGATGTCGGCTCCCAGCTCATGTTGTCACCGGAGCCTCCGTCCACTGAGCCCTCAAGAAGACTGCACTGGGTGTTGTGCCTGATACAGGCGCCACACGGCTTGTTCTCATCGCACTGGGTGAAGAAGTGTCAGCCGGGCCGCGTTCGATATACAAGATGGTTTGTGAGTGGTAGAGAGGTTGACGAGTGTGCATGTGTATGTGTATGGATGAAAGGTGGTAAGTACTTTTACGCGACGCTGTTTACACCTTGCACAGCCACCGCGAGACTTTTTGTACCCTAGGCGCGGCATCTTGCAGCAGGCAGAATAAGCAGCCCTTTAGCTATTGCTTCTCAGACCTGGGCTCTTATCCTAGATTGGCGCAAAGGGACAACTGCTGCCGTAACTTCCCCAACCTCGCGTCCGATGAAGAGTGGGCAGGCTGGACCCCAGACAGGCGAGCGAAGTCCCTTTGGGCTGCCAGATGAGAGAACCCTCACGATTTGGGGGACACCTAGACCTCAAACCCCCTTGCTACAGGAATCCGATGAGAGCGATGAACAGGGGAAGGAGGCGGCAATCTGACGAATCGGTTGAGTACCAGTGACGAGATGTCAGCAAGATGTGGCTCTTCTTCACTTCAAGAGCGGCGCGGTCCGCTAAAGGTACCGTAGACAACGATCCTTTGGTGTGTCGTTGGAAGTCTCGACAAGCAAGTCGAGGAGACCGAAAGCGAATATGTGGGGTTGAGAGGATGGATGGATGGTTGGTTGGTGGATGTTGAACGGTAAATGGGTTGGGACTGAAAGAGGAGAGGTAAGTCGGGGAGATGAGAGCCGGGGCCGGAGATGGTCTGTGGTGTTTTCTGCAGCGGAACGGCTGAGGTAATGGGCTTCGTGTGTCGCCGGTAGCGTGAATAAGTGATGGATGTAGTGTAAGGTAGTGTACTCAGGTGAGTGCAAGTAGTGGTGATGTGATGTATCTATCGTCCTGACTGTCGTTGGAGAGGAAGCTTTCTGCTGGCGCGACGAAGCCGTAGTTGAGTTCAATTCCGAATGGGGCCGGTTTTGAACACACCCAGGAACGAAGCGCGGAGCAAGCCACTCGAGTTATATCGTGAAGGGAGACGCGAGCGAAGCAGTGACCAGTGGCCTTGACGGGGAAGATGGTTCTTGGGATTCTCGGAGTGACTGGGAGTGAGTCTGCCCCGTCCCGTGCTGGGCAGCGCCGGGGCGGGTATTGAAGAAAAGCTGGCCCCAAACTGCGCCTTGCTGACGAGTCAAGCCGAAGCACGGTTGCGTGCGTCAGAAACACAATAACATAGCGGCTCGTACGGATCTGGAATGGCGTGTGCGTGGAGAAAGTGAAACGAACAAGGCCGTATGCTGCTTGTTCCTATTGGAGCCTAGCCCTGTTGTTGACTCTCGAGTGTAAAGATTGAAGGGAGGGGATGGGCAGGATTGTAAAGAAGCAAGAGTGGTGTGTGTCGGTGTGTACAGTTACGTTTCGTCTAAGCTATCATCAGGCCGAAGGACTCTTCCTATGTGGTGCCAGTGGTGGTGGCTCAGGCTCAGGGGTGCCACGAGAGGGGCGGCACTCTAATAAAGATTCAACACCTCTCTCGAGATCCATGTTCGCTAAATGACGATCCACGTCGGGTTGGGAGCTCCTGATCCTACCCGTTGGAAGCACTAGTAGGGAATTACTACTAACTAAGAGGTATCTATAGACATGCAGACTGAATATCACGCATGTGGCCAAGAGCCACGGCATCAAGACGTCAATTCCTCCACCAAGCCTCCATCGACGTCGGCATGCGTTGCGTGGAGTGGCATACCCAAATACATGTATTGGGTGGGCAACGCAACACACGCAATACGTGTATGGCTGGGACCATCCGCGCCGCTCAACCACTCAACGGCAACGCAGATGAGATAAGTCAGTGTGGCAGCATAGCATTCTGTCACCAAGGTTCCTACCAAGGTTCCTCCCAAAATTATCCTCCCGTCTTGGCCAGTGCCCACGCCATCACGCCGTGATCCCGGCGACGAGATTTGTGTTAGGCTTCCGGGGTTAACGGGCAGGACGGGGCCTTGCCATGCCCCTTTACCTCCATGAACCCTAAGCTCCCGCTACTACCCGGTCCCCTGTGTCCATCAATCCAAATCTTTCTTGACGGCTGTCAGCCCGGCAGCAAGGCACACTTGCCATCCCTCCCCTTTCCCCCTCGTACCTTACCTGTTGCTACGGATAGCCACAACCTTTCCGGGGGCGTTACAGACTACTATCTGTAAGGCTGCATTCCACCTCGCCGACTTATATCCCAAACGAGGACCATCGAGGGCATAAAACGGCCCAATGGCCCATCCTACCGGCAAGGACGTGCGCTCTAAGGAAATCAGCTCATCTACATTCGTGGGGCGCTAGCTAAGCATTTTTCGTGGCGCCAGCCCACTAGCCACGGGGCCGGAGAGTATCGATGAAACCGAAACCGAGCGAACCCTGAAAATCCCTTCTAGAAGAACAGTGATCTTCTGTGCCCTGATGTCGTCGTTCTTAAACTGTACCCATTTGATCGCAACCAACATAGCCCCACGGAGTCGCGGGTTTTTATCTTACAGAGATCGAAATTTCTACTCCTAGTCATACTCTAAAGCTCATGCATGTTTACGGCTTTGTAGTCTCGTGGCTTGGCTTCGGAAATTGACGTCTTTGGTTATGTCGTGTTCGTCGCGTTCGTCGCATCCGTCGTGTTCGTTGTCGTATGGCGTTCCAGACCTGTCGGTTCTGTCATTCTTGGGCGATGAAGTGGCTGAGCCACCCGAATAATTTTGTTCATCGGGTATGACGGATACAATCTGATGATCGCAAAGATTGGATATTGTGCCGCTCAAGAGCCAAACATGTTTGGATCATTATCAACATGATTCTTCTGCTCGCTCGCTCACTCTATCTCGCTCTCGACTGGTTGGGGGTTTCCGGATCTCTCACGGCAATCTTAGTCAGTTCAGACCACCAACATTCTCGCGGAAACAGTCCCTTGTTCTGAAACCGCCATCCTGGGTTCCATGTTCCTTCAACGTCGTTTAGGCCCCAGATTAAGCGCGATGGAACGATTCATCCCGCGCAAGGACTCCTCCGGGATCGACGAAGCGTCAAAAGCTTACTTTGATCCCGCCCACCACCCGCCGCGGCGCCCAGGTTTCTGAAAGGCCCCTTCATCGGCCAAGTCGTCTGCTGGCGTCTACAATGTACTGCCGCATCGAATCTCACACAAACATGGGACGTAGCGGCTCTCACTTGTTCGGACCGAAAATGCAGGTGTCAGATGTCATTATTGAGAACCTGTGACAATGAAAAGAGCTATAATAGCGACGGCAGCGATTAGAACTTCCCAACTGTAGGGTTGCGATCCGACTGAGTTCGTTACAAAAAGGTTCCGATGACCAGAGCCCGGATCGTGGCCGAGACTTGAGTGGAGCCTACTCTATTTGCCAGTCGTTGAGTGCATAGTCCCTCTACATAACACCGTTCCTGGTTTATGCCAAGGGTCCAAGTAGATCACCGGACGATTTGATTTTGGGGCAAAATACCACCAGACAAGGCGTCGAACATCCTGAGTGGATGGATTTGCCCCTCTATCTGATCCCTATAGCCTCAGCCCTTTGAGAGAGACGATTATCTAGACCACACTTCTCAGATCGTGTATCTGAACCACGGCACATTATCTGCGAGCTCAGCTTCCAGCTCCTTTTGCTCCGCAGTCAACTCCTGCACTCCGGCCTCGCTAGCAACTTGGTCTCTGCGGGCGTTCTCCCTTCTGCACCATGTGGTCATGAACAATGTCAAGAAGAAGGCCATGCTACGCAAAGTTAGCACGCGTCATCACTGGCCAAAGTGTCATTATGGTTCTCTCTTACCTCACAAAGCCAATGAGAATGCTGTGGCCGGTAGTGTAGCGAGGTCCATCCCGGCTAAGGTAGACGTAAGACGCGATGATGCCGCCGCAGTTACCACCCATGACTTGCATCGCAATACCGGTTCCCCGCTTCAGACTTCCGCCAATATTGCTACTGTTCCAGGCGAGGCCAAGTGGGATTTGAGGATAGATGCCTTAGTCATGACAGATTAGCATGCAGGCAGACTTTCGCCCCATCAGGGCGACGGGTGTAGAAGCTTACCGATGGCGGCAAAAATGGTGCCGGCATATTGCGCAGAGGACTTGCTGGTACCGACCAAGAGACCGAAGCCCAGGATCCCCACTAGCTGGAAGCCCATCAGGAAGATACCACGCTGTCTCACACGATCCGCATACCAACTGGCGGCGATCGTGAAGATACAAGCGAAGCAATACGGCGGCACCGACATCAGTTGAGCGGTGTTGGAGGTGTAGCCCATGTTCTTGATAATGGTTGGTAGGAACAAGGCAATCGAGTAGATGGGGCAGAAGCCCGCCATGCAGATGAGCATGTGGATGTAGATCTTCCAATCCTTGATGGCCTGCCAGACATACTTGATGTTGAACTCGTTAGACAAGTGGCCTGAGTCAACTTGCAGCCGGCGCTGGACTTCAGATCGCTCCTTCTCCGAAAGGAATTGTGCTCTATTCATGATGACGGTCAGCTCATGCTCCACGTCCAACGTTGTCTGAATTTTCAACATACGTGGCAGGATAGTCGTAGATTGCCCAGTACGCAGTGAATGACACCAAGATACTCAGAAGACCCTCGAGGATGAAAATCCATGCCCAGGCCGAGAGACCGCCTACTCCGTGCATCTCGGCAATTCCTCGCGCAAGGATACCACCGAATGCACCGGCGAGAGTCGCTGCAGAGAAGAAGAGAGCCATTCTGAAGCCACATTCGTTTCGGCAGTACCTATGCAACCACCTGTTAGACCCTCGTCCACACCAAGGACGTGCTCATCGGAGCATCAGAGGAGAGACCTCACCATTGCGTGATGTAGTAGTTGACGCCGGGAAACAGACCACCTTCAAAAATTCCGAGAAAGACTCGAGTCGCCATGAGCCCTGAGTAGTCCTTTACGAATCCTTGCCCGATCATCGACGCAGACCAGCAGACCATGATGAATGTCAGCCAGATCGACGGCCGAAGGCGCTTCATCATCATGTTGCTCGGGATCTCGGCCGCGATGTAAAACGGGAAGAGAATGGCAAGGCAGTCATTGTACTGAATTCCCTTCAATTTGAGGTCCTGCTCCAAGTGGTCCAACCTAGCATTTCCAATGTTCGTCCTGTCGAGGAAGCAGAGTCTTAATCCAGGTTAGTACCAGTGTCGCATGGCAGGATGCTGTGGTGGCATTGGTGCAATGTCTGTGCGACGACTCACAGGTAGATCAGACTCATAAAGGGAATGATGTGCCAGTCTAGCTTCCTCAAGAGCTTCTTAGTCGCATGTTGGTCGAAGGGCTGCGATTCGCCGACTTCGATTGATTCGGTGCGAGCGTGTTTTTCTGATACTTGGGCGCTATCGGACTCCATCTTGACATTCGACTAACTCAAGAGCAGGACAGAAAACCGGGGAAACCAGATCAGACGAACTTCTGGGGCAGACGACTTGGCTTTGTGGGGGAGGATGCGACTGCCGAAGTCAAGCTTTTAACTCCATCTCGAACCCTCACCAAGATTTAAACCTCCCTGTCAGCACGTCTTATCAAAGCCCTAGTGATATTGCCACAGCCAGCAGGGCAAGCAGCACGCAGGCTGACTGGATCTAGCCCTGGAAGGATTCATAAATGGAACATGCAGGTAAGACAGGAGGTTGGACACGCACTCGGGTATCTGGCCAATTGGTCTGGACCAGCAAGCCTGCATGCATCTCGCAAAGGTTAAAGGCCGATGGGAGAGGGATTTCACCTGTGACCGCTGCGGGCCGAGTACCAATGAATCAACACCCGCGAGATCTGTTGCAACCTTCCCAAAAAAGCGATGAGACTGGGGTGACATCGGGGTTCTCGTTTCCTATATCAGGTTACCGTTGGTCTGGTTTTTCTATCCTGCGACATAAGAGAACGCCCAACGGACAAATCGTCGCTTACCGCCGAGACAAGATAGGCGTGCTCATCACTCTGCCAAAAGGGCCAATTGCTGATGGGCGGATGCACGTCGGAATGCATGGTGATGAATAAGAAATGTGTCGGGCTGAGGGACAGGGTCTTGATGCCTCGGCTGGCCGCAGAAGGGAG